GCCCTAGCCCGTACAAAACCCAATGCGAAGAGAACTCCTCCAAGTCGACCCTTTCAAGCGAGTCTTTCTATTTAGTTTGTGCGAGAAACTTCGTCGAATTTGACCTTCCCATCTTTGCGAATCTCCGCAACGCTTCGGCGCGTCCCTTCAATGTCATTCTCTAGTTCCTGGACAGAGCGCGTCAGGCCAGGGACATTGCTGACGGCCTTTTCGGCTTCTGTCCTTTCGTCTACTGGCTTTTCCTCTATTTCCTTCCCGCTTTCGGTGGACCGAAGAGCGGATGTACTAGGGGGCGAGGTGAAGCCACTAGGGACATTGGCAATCTCATTAACTTCCTGCGCGGACAAAATATCGTTGAGGCGAGGACCACGGGATTGGATGAGGACGGTTGTGGGACCATCAAACTGCAGGAAGAGCTAGACGAAATTGTTAGTTGGTAAATAATGAAGGGCCAAAATGGGGTGCCATACTCTATCTCCCCAGATGGTCATTCGAGACCAGGTACGCAGCTTGTGGAACCACTGCATAGCGACTTTGTATGCCTTAGAATCAGAAACGTCACGAACAAACTTGGCATTCTGTAGAAGTCTTGGTAGCGTCTTCAGACCCGGAACCTGGAAGTTGAGAGTGGTGGATTTGAAACGGTAGGGGCGAGGAGGATTGGAGGCCATGGTGTAAGCGACCACATTGCTGTCGATCAGATATTAGCGACATCAGATGTGCAATCGCGGCGAGGGTCATACCTGGGATGCGCAATGTACTGCTCGCCATCCTTCAATTCGACCGAGTATAGCTGTCCGTTTCCGACCAACGCTATTAAACCTCTGCCAGTCACCTCGGAGCTACCCCAATGAGACAAGCTCTGCGCAAATTAGCTTGATGTTTCCCCCACGGAATCGTGGTTCCACTCACTAGGTTTGCGTTGATAGTAGGCTTGATGGTCAGAGACCGGCCCGTCCATGCAAGCAAAGCCCGTCTTTGGGCAACCATCCAGTCCACGGAACCATTGACGTTCACAACGGCGAAAGAGGTATTGGGCGATCGAACGGAGACAAGAGCTGTGACAGGACTTGGTGAGGAGATCTAGGAAACTGTCAATCGCTGTCTTTAGGTCCTCATCTGGATCGCGCATCTTACCTTCTGATAAAGAAATGGCACTCCGACGATAGCCCTCCGGAAGGGTTCTAGAACGCTCAATGTGGAAATCACCTGCGCGGATTATGCGTTAGCATCACCATTCCTTCGTGACAACATCATGACGGGATCGTGTACATTATCCGCCTTTCCGCTCAATCCAACCAGCGTTCCTCGTCGTGTATATAGGTTCTGCGAGGCCGAGAGCGAAATCGAAAGAAGCGAGTATGGAGCGCCGACAACATCGAAGCGCGCATCTATGTGCCCTCATGGTCAGTGCCATAATAACAACGCCCGGGGCAATTGCAATTACCTCGTGATTCAACAGAGCTGGGCGTGCTAGCGAGTGGCAGATTATCGCCACTAACCGAAGGCACTCCCGAGGGCGCGGCGCGAATCTGAACGCATCGCGTTTGCCGGTGAACGCGAGGAACGACTCGAGTCCAGGATAGAGGGCGAGCACCTTGGAGGGGGCGCATGGTGTTTGAAAAAAGAGCAAAGACTACCGAAGGGAGAATTTACGTCAGTTGTGACGAAAGAGAAATCGGGAAATCGTGGGCCCGAGAGCCATGCGGCCTACGAAGTACACAACTGCCCCTCTGAATTGCGACATTTGGAAGCTTTATTATAAGAAGTCCTTGAATTACTTTGATTCTCCTTTTACATCTTACCTCTGCTTGACTATTTGCGACCATCCCGGAGTCGAATTGAGAGCGACGGTTTTTACTCCGAAGCCGGCGATTTCCCCCACGAGCTATCCGGAGACATAGCTACCTTGCGCGCCAATCTTTCTTACTTATTCCGAAGCTCCTCTCGGTGGTCTGAACTACTCAGGAGCTTAGAGAATATTATTCCTAGCGGCCATGCTGCTCAGAGCCGCACGATCGCCGTGCTGGCGCACAGCACAATTCACCTATCCGAGCTTCGCCGGCAAGCCACGAAGCACACGACTCAATGGAACACACCTGCGCGCATTCACATCAAATAAGAATTCATTATGGAGTCAATCCACAGACACAGACAAGAAAGATCACGCATCTGTCAAAGCTACTCCTACCTCTACTCCCGCCTCATCACAACTAGCAGACGCCAATATCATCCAGAAGCCGGAAGGTAGCGGCAATGCGAAGACCCCACCGAAGAAGGACTTGCTGAGCGAGCCAATGGCTGGAAAGAAGGAACAAAGAAAGGCCGACTGGGCTATTATGAAAGAAATGGCCAAGTATCTGTGGCCAAAGGTAAGCCTCGAGTGCTATTGGTATAGAGTAACAGGGTATTAACTATAGCTGGTAGGATGATTGGGGCACGAAGCTGCGTGTCGGCACAGCACTTTCACTGCTTATTGGTGCAAAGGTAAGTTTCGTCTGTTATTGTGTTTTTATTAAAATATGCTAATATGAATCCAATATAGATCCTCAATGTGGAAATCCCCTTCTACTTCAAGAACATTGTCGACTCCATGAATATAGACTTTGCTACCATCGGTGGAACTGCCTATACCGTGGCTGGGTCAATGATTATTGCATGTAAGGATAACAGCATATCGAAGAGAGACTTGTCGCTAATATGTCTTAGACGGTGTGACCCGAATCGGAGCTACATTGTTTCAAGAGCTCCGTAACGCGGTCTTTGCTAGCGTTGCGCAGAAGGCAATTCGGAAAGTGGCGTCAAATGTTTTTGAACATCTGTTGCGACTAGATCTCAACTTCCACCTGTCTCGGCAGACCGGAGGTCTGACTCGCGCAATTGACCGCGGTACTAAGGGCATCAGCTTCCTCCTCACCTCCATGGTTTTCCATGTAGTACCGACAGCACTTGAGATCTCGCTTGTCTGCGGTATCTTGGTATGGATTGGAACCTATATTTATGTTTCTATCTTACTAACGCGTTGTAGACATATCAATATGGCCTCCAATTTGCCGCCATCACAACAACAACAATGATAGCTTATACGGTGTTCACCATCACCACAACCGCTTGGCGAACAAAGTTCCGGAGACAGGCCAATGCGGCTGATAACCGCGGAGCAACCGTTGCTGTGGATTCGCTCATCAACTATGAGGCCGTCAAGTACTTCAACAACGAGAAATTCGAAGTGGCACGATACGACAAAGCCTTGAAGAAGTATGAAGATGCATCAATCAAGGTGACTACATCTCTGGCATTCCTCAACTCTGGTCAAAACATGATCTTCTCCTCTGCGCTGGCCGCAATGATGTACCTGGCTTGCAATGGAGTTGCGAACGGAACCATGACCGTCGGTGACCTAGTCATGGTCAACCAGCTGGTCTTCCAGCTCTCAGTCCCCCTCAACTTCTTGGGGTCTGTCTATCGTGAGCTGCGCCAGTCCCTGCTGGACATGGAAACGCTTTTCAACCTGCAGAAAGTGAACGTCACCATCAAGGAACGGCCTAACGCCAAGCCGCTGCAGCTGACGCAGGGCGGCCAGATCCGCTTTGAGAACGTCACGTTTGGTTACCATCCAGAGCGGCCGATTCTGAAGAATGCCACCTTCACTATCCCCGCAGGACAGAAGTTCGCCATTGTCGGCCCCAGCGGCTGCGGCAAGTCTACAATCTTACGTCTGCTGTTCCGCTTCTATGACGTCCAGTCCGGCCGTATCTTGATTGACGGCCAAGATATCCGCGATGTGACCGTCGACAGCCTTCGCAAGGCAATTGGAGTGGTACCGCAGGACACACCTCTGTTCAATGACACTATCGCCCATAACATCCGCTATGGTCGGATTGATGCATCGGACGAAGAAGTGCGCCGAGCTGCGGAGCGAGCCCACATCCACAAGCTTATTGAGGGTCTACCTGATGGCTACCAGACTGCGGTTGGTGAGCGTGGTATGATGATCTCCGGCGGTGAGAAGCAGCGGCTAGCAATTTCTCGCTTGATCCTGAAGGACCCGAAACTCTTCTTCTTCGATGAGGCAGTAAGTGTTCATTCCTTGGTCCGCCAGCGAAGTGGTTAATTGAGATAACTAATCACCCTCTCTCTAGACATCCGCCCTAGACACCTACACAGAGCAGGCCCTCCTCCAGAATATCAACAGCATTCTCAAAGAGAAGAGCCGCACAAGCGTGTTTGTGGCTCATCGCCTACGCACGATCTCCGACAGTGACCAGATTTTGGTCTTGAAGGAAGGTCATGTGGCAGAGATGGGTTCACACCGCGAGTTGCTCGAGCATGACGGCACCTATGCGGAGCTTTGGAATAGTAAGTCCTTTTTCCTTTGCTGTTAACACTCCTTACTAACTCAATTTCAGCCCAGGAACAGACGATGGCCCATGATGGGAGCCTGGAGCGGAGCCAGGTTCAGGATGTCCAGCCCAAGGCGTGAGATCCCATCCAACAAGTGTTAGGCTACTATTAAGCCGTAATGAAAAGCTTGCAACACATAGCATCCGATGTAAACAGCATCGTGCATGTCTTTGGTGATAGATAACAATAGGATTATGCACAAAGGATAACGTGGACTAGTTCCTCATCTATAGATTTCATGATTCGCTACCCTCACGGAACATACACCATAGGTGTTGATCCATCCTTAGGCTGATGCTTGCCTTGAGCAACACGCCTATTATGAACGACATAAATAACAATCTGCGCTGCAGCACTGGCGATTCCTACAGACACCATAATGATCATGGTACGTAGGCCCGTCGAATAACTTGACATTGATATCAGCAACTGTCCAGTAATGACCTTCGGAGAATACCTTCACTTACAATGGTTTGTCCCCTGCTTGGAAATACTGTGTCCCAACCATTAAACCGCTTATTGCAGCCATAACCCACATCCTGCGGTCAAGTCTCTTATCAGCTCCAGTCAAGTCAAAATAGGAATATAGGAAAAGCTCACGCGATGCTGATACTCCGCTCCCTCGGATCTCGACAGTTGATCTGGACCCAAAAGTTATGTATGGGATGATATCCCACAGCGAAACTGTTCACAGCAGTCCAAAGTCCCCAACGCGACCATTTACCGACATGGGGCTGGACCTTGAAATTTACTATCAACACAATGAGGTAGCAGGCTTGAGCAGCAATCACAGTCGCACCTCTGAGGTTGGTCCGATCACTCATGTAGGCGAAGAAGAATACAACTCCAAGTGATAGGGATGCGCCGACTGCAGCTAGCGCGTTTGCTGCTGTTCTGTCAAAGCCGAGTGACCTGTATAAATGAGCTTCAGATCCACCCATCTACAACGGCAGTGGATACTCACATGATGATAGACGGCGTGTAGGTGGTTAGAGGACTCCATGTCGAAAACACGACGAATGTAGAAATAAAGTGCGGCCAGCGACGGTAGCAGCACACAGTACGGAAGACAACTTTCAACGGAATGTGCTCGCCATACGCGCCCTCAGTACTTCCGCCATTGTCGTATTCGAGTCGTTTTTGAAGAATCTCCTTCTCGGAATCTGTGAATTTGATAATCCCCGGGCTCAATAATGGCCGGGTGAGATCGGGTGATCCAGGTAGAAATAGTAATAGGAGGAATGAGACAGATATAGTGAATAGTCCCTCAACTGTTGATGTGTTAGCGAATGAAGTCTTGTATTTAGAACATGCATACTTAGGAAGAGCCATCGCCATCCTCGAATGCCGTGTCGACCATCAAGAAGCAGAATGCCAGAGGCTAGGATAGGACTTAGAGCGTTGCCGCCAAACATCCCAAAGAAGAAAATGGCAACTCTCTTAGCCAATTCTCTTTTCGTATACCACGACGACAAAGTATAGACTGCACCGGGAATATACCCTGCCTCAGCGAACCCTAGAAGCAGCCGTATAGCCAAGAAAGATCCTCGATTGTGGACAAATACTTGCATGGTAGCAAGTAAGCCGAAGAGAAAGACCTGGGCCGAAATCCACTTGCGAGGACCAATCTGCCAAAGTTCTTATTAGAATCAGACCTTCCAGAGAAGCGGTACCGCACATACTCGTTGTAAGGCCATATTACATGGTATCTCAAACACCACGATACCCATAAACATGAGCTGATTTCCCAAATTGATTGTGGACTGTGAAACGTTGATATCAGCGGCGAAGCCACCAGTCAATGCGCTCGCAATGTTCATGCGGTCTAGCTGGAAAACAAGAAGACCGAGAAAAAGCAGAGGCAGCACCGACATATCGATCCTTAGAGAAATTCATGTCAGCGTTTAATCCTGATACTTCATCTATGGGGTGTCATTGGTGGTTACTTTCTGCGAGCTTTTTGCTCATGGCCGGGTTCCCATTCTGGCAAGGGTAGCGATAATGAAGTAGATTGCTCAGAGGCGCTACCCTTGAGATCTAACTTCTCGTCGTTCACTTTGACATCCATATTATATCATTTCCCTCCGTTAGACGTGGACTGGTAGAAGAGACATGAATATTGCAAGTATAAACTAGAAATTATAGACATCCCTGCAAGATATTAACTCCTCTGCCATATCATAATTTATAATATGGCGTGCTACCGTAAATTCCCTAAATGAGGCGTACCAGACCTTCAAACTACTATAAAACCACGATTTTTCTCTCTGGGCGCTGCGCTTTAATATCAACGGGATTTGAAGGGATTTGAAGACAAACCGTCCAAGTGAAGCCATGTGGATTTTCTTCCTTCGTAACTGGTTGGCTCGACGCCGTAGCCCCGCGACGCCAAATTGCGTGACAAGGCCCAGAATCGACGACAGCAGCGAACCCTAGATCGGTGCTAAAATTCCCCAGGTCGGCATTTGCGACGGGATCTCGCCTATTGTATCTATATAGCGCAATCTAACCTCGGGATGAATTTATAGCTGTTTTAGTCTTCAATTTTTACCATGGTGCCTGTTAAACGCGTTGCGGTCATCGGCGCGGGGCCGGCAGGAGCTATTGCGATAGATGCTCTGGCGCAGGAGAAGACCTTTGACATTATCCGTGTATTTGAGCGTCGCGAAGGTCCGGGAGGCTGTTGGTCCGTTTATCTTCTCTGGAGCTTTTTCGCGACGACTGACAAGAAACCCCAGGATTGGCGATTCATCCCAGCCTCCAACGCTCCGCGACTTTGCATCTCTGGCGACAAGAACAGCTGATCCCCCACTACCGATCCCCGAAAGCTTGCCTGCGCAGACTCCAAAATCGGACCAGCCTCGCTTTACTGAGTCGTCTGTTTACCCCTACCTGGAAACCAATATCGACTTTCTGCCTATGCAGTTCGCTCAGGAACCTTTCCCAGAAGAGCGCAGCGAGCTTTCCATATCTCACCACGGGCCCGAAACCCCATTCCGGAAATGGGATGTGGTCCGGAAATATGTTCGGAGTCTTGTCGAGCGCCGGGGTTACAGCGACTGGGTTTCATACAACACCACGGTCGAACGGGTCGAGAAGGTGGGGACGGAGTGGAAAGTAACACTCCGAAAAGATGGAGAGAAGAGTGATTACTGGTGGGTTGAGTGGTTTGATGCGGTAGTCGTGGCGAGTGGCCACTTCTGGGTCCCCTATATACCCCCAATAGAAGGCCTGGAGGCGTTTGAGAAGACCAGACCGGGCAGCGTACTTCACAGCAAGCACTTCCGTGGGAGAGATAAATTTGCTGACAAGGTAAGCTAACTTCTTTTCTCTACAACTGCATTCCAAGGTTTCAGGGCCATCATGCTAACGTAATTCCAGCGAGTTGTGGTTGTCGGCGCATCTGTCTCAGCAGCCGATATCGCAGTCGATCTTGTTGAAACGGCAAAGGAACCAGTCCACGCAATCACAATTGGCCATGCTGCCAACGGTTACTTTGGCGATGAGGCGTTTAACCACCCGAAGATACAAAAATATCCTTCAATAGAACGAGTCTCGAACAGGACTGTGCACTTGACGAACGGCAACTGCATCACGGATGTTGACCACATCATCTTCGGCACAGGCTACAGCTGGACGCTGCCATTCCTACCGGCAGTTTCAGTCCACAATAATCGGGTTCCAGATCTGTACCAACACGTTGTTTGGCAAAAAGACCCAACATTATTGTTTGTCGGCGCCGTCGCGGCTGGTCTGACGTTCAAGGTCTTTGAATGGCAATCCGTTCTAGCTGCACGGCTGCTGGCTGGCCGAGCTACCCTACCGTCTGTTGAAGTGATGCAAAGATGGGAAGCGGATCGTGTAAAAGCTCGGGGTGATGGCGTGAAGTTTACATTGATCTTCCCAGACTTCGAAGACTACTTTGAGACGGTGAGACATCTAGCCGGCAAGGGGGAGGAGGGCAAGGGACGAAAGCTGCCCAAATTTCGTCGCGAATGGGTACGGGCATTTTTTGAGGGACATGAACGCCGCAAGGCTATGTGGAAGCGGCTGAACTCGAAATCTCGAGCAGCTTTGATGAATACCGAGACTACACACAAGGAAGTAGCTCGGCTTTGAGTCTAACTATATGTAGTTATGCCTGCATCTGGACACGGACCATGCCCTGACATTGGCACAGCAGCATGGTCATATGAATGTGGCTGCTTACACTTAGACTGTAGATTATCAGTTTCTAAGCCTATTTCTGGCCAACGACTATAACATCAACGAACCATTACCTGGAACACACCTTCATTACTATGTCAGTTCATAGCCTGAGTTGTTTCTTATAGGTCTAATAACCTATGAATATACTCCCTACGAGTACTAATTAATTCGCTACCAACTATGCATGTAGTCTTATCAATTATTCGGCTTGGCCGGGTGTTTGGAGAAGAAAGCTCGTAGAAGTCCTATCATGAAACCTTGTGTGCTATCCAAACCATGTGTGCCATGATAAAGCCCTGCGTACTTCGTACCTCTCTTAGTTATCCACTGCATCGCGCGTACCGGCATGCACCCGCGTGCACAGGGTATAAAAGGCCTCATGTCCCCAGAAATCTTCTTCTTCCTCTTCTTTTCTCCTCATCCCCCTTCCCCCTTCCAGTTCCGACTTCCGCTAACGTTTCTGCAGATCTTCCTTACATTGTATCACTGGGCTTACACTACCCCCGGTTGATGCGAACCCCCTCTGACTGACAGGTAGATCTGACGTTACTGCATATCTTCCTAGTCGTAATTTTTTGTTCTAGCGACTTGGCCTCTGTGCTTGCATATGCCTAGTTGCACTGTATCACCGGGCTTACACCACCTCCGGTTGATGCGACAGGTAGATCTTTCTATTACTTGTAATCTTTGGACCTCGCGACTTGGCCTCTATACTGTATATGCCTCGATGCACTGTGTCGCTGGGCTTACACTACCCCCGGTTGATGCGACCCTTCTCCTTTTTTTCATCAATTATTCGGCTTGCCCGGATGCTTGGAGAAGAAAGCTCGTAGAAGTCCCACCATGAAGTCGCCTCTCTTACCAAGCGTACCTGCGTGCACCCGCGTATAGGGTAGGTATAAAAGGCCTCTTGTCCCCAGAAATCTTGTTTTTCTTTTCTTCTCTCCCCATCCCCCTTCCCCCTTTCAGTTCTGACTTCCACTGACGTTTCTGCAGATCTTCCTAATCCTTTGACCTGGCGACTTGGCCTCTGTGCTTGCACATGCCTCGTTGCACTGTATCACTGGGCTTACACTACCCCCGGTTGATGCGACAGGTAGATCTTCTTATTACTTGTAATATTTGGACCTAGCGACTTGGCCTCTATATTGCATATGCCTCGTTGCACTGTGTCGCTGGGCTTACACTACCCCCGGTTGATGCGACCCCTCTCCTTTTTTTCATCAATTATTCGGCTTGCCCGGGTGCTTGGAGAAGAAAGTTTGTTTGATTCCATAGTCCTATCCTAGCCTTTCAGCTTTCTCAATCTCTTAGGTCGCCTCCATAAATTTACGAAACAGGAAAGAGACTGGATGATTTCAAAGTTTGACATATGCCTAGAGACTTAATCCAATTGTTAAAAGTCCATCATTACCGAAACTACCTAGGCACTGAAGATGGTATATGATCCATTGACACGGTGAGGAATTGTGTAGAACCTCTCCTTTCTCAGGGCTTTGTCCCTTTGGCATCATTGTTAATCATTACTTCTTGTTCTTCTCATGTAGTGTACCTCTGTACATCATATAATTGACGGACAAGATATGTTCGACTGTGATAGACTACCCAGTAGAGCCCATTTATGCCTAATGCTCCGGGATCACTCTCATTTTTTTTGTTATGCGGACAATGGGGGTAATAATTGATTATCTACAAACAAACAGAAAGTCGCTATAGCTATTTTGCAGCCGGCCAAGCTAGGCAAACCAGGCAAGGCAAGTGATTGTCTCAAATTCTTTCATCTCCCAAAATTCTCTTCATCTAGATACTTCTACTCACCCATCCATATTTATCATCTTTCACCAAGCTTTGTTATCATTGGAACATAGTACAATATGGAACTCGGACGTTATATCTTCCAGTTACCCTCGGACGAGGAACTCCAGGTCTTGGAGCAGAAGATCAACTATTCTTTTTCCAACCGAACTCTGCTCCGGGAGGCACTCCAACCCGCGACCTGGGTTAACGAAGATGGCAATAAGAAACTTGCAATGGTGGGCAATTCAATTATGCGCCTGGTAATTGTGAATCACGGCCTCAAAGAAAAGAAGACGCGTGGTATGTGTTTCTCTCACACTGGCTACTATTTCACAAACTTACGATTTCGGCTCTGGTTAGGTCAAATCTCCGATATGTTCACCCTTAAGGCTAGCAAATCCTCTCTTTGTGCGCAGGGCTTCTATCTCGGCATTTCCGAATTTGTCGTCAAAAGACCCACCCAATTAGTCGTTGGACCGACTATCATGGCGACCACCATGGAGGCAATCGTCGGGGCAGTCTACCTTGACTGCAATGAGCAGATCCAGCCGTGTGCCGTTGTCATGAATGCATTGGATATTGCTTGGTCTGAGTAAACACCAATCACCCTACAGTGGCATACAGTACCCCTGACGTGGGGGCTGGCGAGATTGACCACAGCCTGTGTGAGTGTTTGATTCGACGGTGGGGCTGCTTGCAATGACTTGCATGCTGCAGTACTATCCAATGAGTCTTTCCCATACTTGTAATCAATTCCGATTGATCCTGAGGGGCTCTGTACATTCCCGTGGCTTGGAATTGACTCCCACAAGAGCATATTGAGAGATATTGTGGAGAGGACGAGAATGGATATGGTTCGGAGCTAAGAGAATTGAATAGCTGTTGCACTGATTCTGGTAACTATTATGTTCGCCTCGTCTTATGTCTTTATGGACATCAGCTGAATGCTTGAAGCACAGGTAGCTTCGTAGCGATGTAGAGCCGATACTGTACTCGAAACTGCATTTTGGTCCCTTCTTAAGATATTGACTGACTCCAGCTTTGCTGTGCTAAAGATGCTACAGACTAACTACGTCATGCTATTAAAACTTACTAATCATCTTGGGCGCCAGATTTAGTTGACTAGAAGGCGATCCCATGAAGGCGATATGGCGGCTATCCCGAGTAGGCCTATTACCGTTACGGAGTACTGTTGGCTAATACTGCCTTGCCGCTGATTACTCTTTCGCTAATGCGGTTGGTCTATCGTGGAAGTGTTGTTCTCCAATGAGAAGGATGTCTAGACTCGGCGATGATACGAGTGTCACAGTGAGCGGGGTATCTGACCAAAGCGTGCCTTAAATTGACACCATTGGGAGCCTTATTGACTAAGATAGGGGTGGTTGATACATCCGATCTCCGTTGATACCAAAAAAGCGAGTGTGACGAATTAGAAGTCAATATTTGGATACTCCGCCATATGATCAATAGCATCGAACCTTGGAGTAAACAACGGTGTAGCGAGCGCACGGCCCGTCGGAGTTCTCGCGGTTGCTTTGTTTTTCTTTTCCAACATTTCGTCTTCATCTATCTTAGCATCGCGCCGTACTGCGAATCCAAGGTGTCTAATTTTTCACGGGGTCTTCTCCCACTACCTTCATCATGACACCGCAGGTCACAAGTTGGGCCGACTTTGCCCATGTATCGGAGGAATTCGACTCAGAAACCAATGAATTTCAATACACAATGTTCGCTGTCATCAAGTCGGACGATGTCATCTACTACGGCGAACTACCTACCCGCAAAGCTGAGATCTCGTTTCAGCAAGTCATGGCCACGCTCAAGCCAATCCCCGACAACGAGATATTCCCAGAGTCGCCACTGTCTGGCGACAAACCCTTGACCCAGGCGCCACTGGATCTCCCCGCCAATGTTCAAGTCTTCATCAAGCGACCCAACATTTCCCAATATGATGTGTATAAACGACACAATGTAGTACACCTGCTCGCCCAAAGCTTTTTGGAGGAGGAGGCCCGTACCATGGAAGTTCTTGCCGCACACCCACATCCTTATTTCGTCCAGTACTACGGCTGCCGCTTCCGGGGAGGCTACCTAACCGGAATCGTGCTCGGCCGCCATTCGCACGACTTGAAGAACTATCTCAGTGGCGGAGTGGGAAATATCGATAAGAAAGCATTCATGAATGCGCTTGAGTCTGCTATCTATCACTTACATTCACTCGGTTTGGCACACAATGACCTCAACCCGACGAATGTGCTGGTCGACGACTCCGAGACCAGTGGTGGAATGCCAGTCCTGATCGACTTTGGCTCGGCCGGGAGAATCGGCAGTTTGTTGGGAACGTCCCGGGGTACGAGTGGTTGGATTGAGGGTCGGATTGAGGACTATACCACTTCGAGGAAGGAACATGATATCTTTGCCCTAGAGAAAATGCGACTCTGGTTGGACAACCCGACTTTCGACGATGATTAATGGGGAAAATAGTGATATGTAGAGCCTATCCACCACATGGCAAAAAGCAAGAGACTGGCATTGCTACAAGTCTGTTGACATACCATTACTGCCCTATAGCAATATCAGTCATGGAACTGCCACTAGATTGAGATATCCTGTATTACAGTAGAGATCCATTACGTCTTACCCTTCGCAGTTATTGGATCGAAGATACAATGTCGCGTAGGGACCATCACGACAACCGGCCTAATCGGGTTACCGCTTTTACCACCGCCTTAGTTATGTACTCCGAAGTATGAAGCTATTCAGAGACTACCCTGATCTGTCAATATGAAGCAATTTAAATTCAGGGAATTGTTACTCGCACCCCCCTGGATGGCAGATGCTCACACCCGACCAGGAAGACGGTATTATTAGAATTTCAGGCCGGGGGTGTGAGTATCCGGTCAATTCCCTGAATTAAAATTGCTTCATATTGACAGATCAGGTGGTCTCTGAATAACTTCATCTCTTCAGGCATTAACTATCAGGCATCAATATTACCAATACTTTGGATAAACATTCGCACCTACAATATAATCATGCCGAAAACACATAGTTACCTTGTGTTGGCGCCTGGCAAGTTAGTTAGTTAACTAGGCGGTATTATTTTTTTACTAATTTTCTGACTGGCAAAAAACCCATTGTCCCTCGTAGACAGAGTTCATCGAACAATGAATATGCACTATTTGTTATCATTAGGAGGGAGATCGATCAAAAACCGGGGAAAAGGCAGGCAAGAAGAAGCCTCTTTCCTCACCTTTGCCCTCACCCTCATTTCTCTTTGTGATTATTTGCTTAGGTATACTCGTTTTCTTACCCCGAGCCAATTATCAAAAAGAGAAATGACGGTGATGGCAAAGGAGAGGAAAGAGCCTCATTTACCGGAGGGGAGACTAGCTCTTATTTGATTTTCGGAGTTGTCAAAGGCTTCTTACATGCTTTTTCCCCGGTTTTTGATTGACCTCCCTCCTAATGATAACAAATAGTGCATATTCATCGAAAATAAAAGAGAAGTTGAAATCAATACAAATTGGAATTGGCACCAGTTGTATATGCTTGGTGAAGGCGGTGATAAATGGCGGTCAGGGACATGCCCGTACCCGAGGCCCAGCAGAGCTCCAGCCAATGAAGATGAGTCAGGAGAGTCAATGGAGATCCTTTGAGACTTCAGCCTTAGAGCCCGGTCTTTATTTTCTTTCGTAAACACAACATGACCAGCCCAATTGCGGATATTTCTCCACCTTCAGCTGAAGCCACGATCTTCGCTTGTTCGCTCCTATGCTATACGAGCGTCTATCACGCTAGCTATACGGATCACTTCAGCTTTAGAAATTCAAGCCCCCAGCGCGCCATACCGGAGTACGTGGAATAAGATACAGCATTATCTGTCAGCGGTCTAGACCCGAACCTAAATACTGAACTATCGATTCTTCTGGAAAAAGAAAAGAAAAGTCTTCAGCCAGAGCTACAACAACTAAGCACAGGAAATTTACACAAGACTCGAATCTTCGCATCTCGCAAACGTGCATCAAAATAAATTGCGCAAAACTAGGATTGGTGCTTTACCGAACATATCCAGGCAGCCCCATTAGAAACGGCACATAATCTCCCGGGACTACATCGCCAGGTCCCCAGTCCAAGATAGCGACCATTAACTGCGTGATAGGTCCCAACCATATGGCAGCGCTCTGACACGGCTTTCGATCTCAAGATCACGTCATAGTATGGCTGGCGAACCTTCCGCTGGACAACATAGAGGGTCTTTCCAGGTCTCAGTCTCGGACACCGCAACGGTTCCAGCAGAGCTAGCCAGTCGGAATGGCCCAATTCATCGCCAAACAAAATACCAGCTCCCTTTCCACCCCTGATCGGCTTCAGGAGGTAGTCATTTTGGAACGAATCCGAGGCTTTGCAATTCTCGATAAATTGGTTGAATGCTGTCGAGCCCGGGAGAATTGTGTGCGCCAAGCCTTGGTTAAGGCATTCGGCCTGTTTGGGAGTGATGATGTTCCTGGAGACTAAATTGTTGAGTTCTTCAAGGACGAGTCCTAGCATTCTCTTGTCGTGAGCAAGGAGGATAGTTCGCATGTCGTTGAAGCATCGCAGACTGATCTGTCGTTTCATCTCCGGATCGAGAGCATTGATCTCCCGCTGGTGGAGTTCGAGGCCAATTTGGTGAATCTCTTCCACTATCTCGCCCGACTCGGTTGTAATTGTTTCAATGGCATCTACTTCAGCGAGACAGCACAGCTTGTATCCGTTTGTCCCGGAGTTGGAGGGATCTGGAATGAGTCGGAGAGTATCCGGAGTTATGAGTCGCAGTTTTATCCCATGTCTTTTCTGAGCAAATTCGATAAACATCCCGATATCAATCCCGTGCTCTTCGCCTTTGATAAGGTGCAAAGGAATTTTGTTGTCGAACAGTTCCAGCAATCCACCGAAGATCTTTGAGTTAACCATTAGCAATCTATCTCAGCCCAGCTATTGAATCTCCATCACTCGCTTACCGTTTCAGCTTCCACGGCGTGAGTCAGACCTCGCGACTCAAGATTGAATACCGAAAGCGAATCTTGCCCAAAGACGGCATGCATGTACCCATTCCAGCAGAACCTCGCATTAATCTCACAAATACGAAAAACCTCCACGCCAGCTTCATCTTTCTCTACCAAAAAGTCTGGTCTCCAAGATCCTTGTCGTTCGTTCCACGGTGCAAACAAGTGTCGGTTCGAGTCCATCCACTATTGTAACAACCACTCAATAAGCCAAATCCAACCGTAGAAAGGATATAGCTTACACGCAATAAGTCTTCCTCCTCTTGCTCCAACGGCACGCGCAGAGGGAACCGGGCTTCATCATCCGTCCACCATCGCCCAATAATATCCTCGATTGACAATCTCAGGGCGAGGTGCAAGTTTCTCATGTCATCATCGTGCCGTTGGGTGATTAACACAGGGAAAGGACACGATGCATCCAGGGACCCGGCTGGCCAAGAAGAGGAGCAGTTGCTCAGCTTTGAAATATAACTGTGGCGGCTTTGGTTCAACAGGCTTACATCTAGTCCTTCTGCTGTCACTGGTGAGTAGTCGACGGCATCGGGAAAGCTGATCAGATGGAGAGGTTTCATTTTGTATGTAGATATTCTGTGCTGGCAATGGAAAGACGGCATGATATATGTCCTTCATGTTTGAATCAAACTATCTGACTAGTGGTTATCCCGAGCTGAGGTGGAGAAAATCGATCGAGTACGGAGTACTTCGTAGACGATCCTGATGTTCTCCTTGCATGTATGTATGTAATGTAATGTAATGTATTCGTGTACAGTGGGGCCTCTCGGGTATATGTGGGTCCAATAGTTCACCCGAGGGCCCCGCTATAAAATGGGCCCGTAGGCAGAGTTTTGACTCGTATTGACTTGCAATTACAGGTTTGAGGTCGTATGTACGACTATACATATAATACAGCATTGAAACATTCATGAGCTTCCAAATGGTGCGGCATCCCATCGGACACGCCGAAGATGTCGGTTAGGGTCTTTGACTTCATTGCGTGAATGCAGCCATCGGCGATTATCCATCAGGATAATTGATCCTTGGGGAAGACACTGGGGTGTGAGGTGGAGAGTCTCATCCCGGGCGCCACCACCGTACAGGATTTCCTTCAGTTCATCCAGTGCCTTAGTAGCATTCGGAGTCAAGGGAACCGTGATATCTTCCCGAAACCGCAATTGACTGCCAGACTTCCCGCCAGGATTCACGGCGAGCAAATTAGCCACGATATGCTGCTTCCCTGCGGTTTTGATAAACTCGGGAGGGACGGTAATTTTGTAGTTGTGGCTGGAGAGCCATTTTTGCGCGAAAGGTGAAAGCAAGGTAAGGAGTCGATCGACGTTTAGCACAGACAACGTCCCGCCGCCGCAGCGGTCCGGCTGAAGGACTTGGAGGGCGAAGAATCGTGGTGGTTGCTCTTCGTAGCTGCAGTCGGTGTGCCATTCAAAGCGGAACATTGTCTCTGATCGGGCTTGGTGGCCATGGCTTTGGAAACTCGCGGGAGAGGGCCGAACATCCCAAAACCAACCGCGCTCGGCGCTGTGGGTTATTGGGAGGCCGTGGTTGTGGCTTTTGTGGAGATTGGATATCAGGCTCTGCAGGTATGTGCTGTTCTCGTCGCTAAACCCTAGATGTACTTGGAGCACACCTTTCGCTTCGAGGGTGTCGTATACGGCTCTCAAGTGGGAGGCGTCGGAGGCGAGTGCTGGTTTGGTAATTTCGATTAAGGGGACGAGATTGGAGGTTCGTAGATCTCCTGTTATAGTTAGTATGAGAAGAAGAAAATAACAGACGATACATACTGATAGGGCGGGTAGAATAACTTGCCGTCAGTCTGGCTGTAGAAACAGCACGGAAGAGTTGATGCATTTTGTGCAACCACCATGTAAGATATGGAAGAGCAATCGGCGCTCAATTACATATATACCAACAGCTCCAAATGCAACGAAGAAGAACAATATCACGAATATATGCAGCATACCCGTGCGGAGGACAGAGTAGAGCGGAGCAATATATTTCGACTGGTCATATGGGAAATGAGACGCATATGTAGTTGGCATGCAGATTACTCCGTACAGCGTATGGTAAAAACTATCAGATTAATTGCAACTCCTATAGATGCGGCTGAGCTGACCCACTCGGGAAACACGGAGAGCGTAATGGATGTGTCGCACGTACAAAGAGAGACGAATAAGAATAGAAAATAAGAAAATAAAAATAGAACACCTGAAATGAGGTCTCATCTCATGTAAGGGCTAAGTTCAGGACATCGACATTTGAACCAGACGTGCCTATACGGCGTTGGACACTTCTCTCCAAGTTCCAACAACCTCGCCAACATGACTGTCATCCACGAAAAGGCCTTACCAATAGGCTACAATTGGCGTTCCTCCAAGTGGTTCATTCTCTCTACCATCGCAATCGCGTTGTTTGCTGGTCTGTCTGCCCCTATAATACTTTAAACAACACAACACTAATACCGAGTAGAAACATTCCTCTATGGCTTCCTAGTTCCCATCCTTGGAGAAATGCTTCGGGACCGCCTCCATGTCCCGCCATCTCAAGCTCAGGAGTTAACCTCTGCCGTTCTTGCCCTGCATGGTACTCTCGCCATGGTCTCCGGCCCTATAATCGGTCATTTCGCCGACAAGAACCAAGGCCGCAAGACCGCACTCCTATTATCTCTCGGATGGTGCATTGTCGGCACGTGCATGGTTGCCGGTGCTCGTTCAGTCCCTATACTACTGCTCGGCCGCGTGTTACAAGGCATCGCAGGGTCTGCTGTGTGGATTGTCGGCTTCGCAACAGTCGCAGACACTGTCAGTCCGAACCGCATAGGTTTCGCAATGAGCTTAATGATGTCCTGCGCAAACACCGGAGTAATCAGCGGGCCCGCGATTTCCGGGCTGCTGATAGAGGCCACCGGATACTGGATAACGTGGTCGATCCCGCTCGCGGTCCTGACGATCGATTTTATCGCACGCGTGTGTATGATCGAGAGTCCGTCCAGTCCTCCCTCTACGCCAACCGAGACTGCGAGTCTGCTTTCCTCTTGCGAAGAGCAGCAAATCCCATCCCGAAACGATAGTTTCTGGCGGACAATGCTATGCGATGGCCGTGTTGTGACCTGTCTGCTAATTATAATCTCGGGTACAACCGTGAGCACGAGTTTCCACGCGACCCTTTCCCTCCACGTTGAAAAGACATTCGGATGGGGCCCTCGTGCCGTCGGACTCCTTTTTGCCGGCCTTGTCATTCCGGGTGTCGTGATCGGTCCCATTGCTGGCTGGGTCCGTGATAAAGTCGGAACACGACGACCTACCGTGGTCTGCGCCATTCTTGAGGCAATAGTACTTGGCCTAATGGGTATTGTTGGCGATATTCCTTGGGCGGGCGCTCGGGATATGGGTAAACCGCTTTACGTCGCCTGTATCGTTGCTATAGGCATTTTGCGGCCGTTTGTGTCTGGCATCGCGCCGGTCGAACTGACGGGTAAGTCGTCTCTCTCCAGCTATGAATATGACAGTGCTAAAAATATCTAGCTACTGCCAAAGCTATTCAGGAAGGGTCCCCAGGGACGTTTGGACCCAAAGGAGGCATGTCGCGCGTGTTCTCTATGATGGATGTTGCCGATTCACTCGGGATGATGATTGGTCCAATTATAGGCGGCTCGTTGAAGGAAATGGTTGGCTATAAATGCATGAGCTGGGCTTGGAGTAAGTGGTTTGATCTTAGTATGTGTACGGAGCACTTTACTGATGATAGCAGGTCTCTTATATCTCCTCCTCGCTGCTCTTGCAATGTGCTTCTTAGGATCAAATGATGCTGAGGAAGAAGTATAGTTCAGGCAACTGTGTGCTTCTCTGTTTTTCTTCTCCATCGGAATGGGAGATCCCTAATTGGGCCATCGGACCCACATACACCCGCCTTCCAAGATTTGGCCCGGGAACTAAAATACCGCTCACAGATATAATACGGTATACTTACAGATAATTTCAATTAATACAATAAAAACACCGCACCAGGTATGGAAATAGAGTAAATACACGTAAATTATTCATTACTCCCTCGCGATCGTCCGGTGGAGACCCGAGATCTGCAGGCACGTACTCAGCTGATCGACCTTCATGAGGTCGTCTCCATGAACTAGTAGCTACTCCATCGTACTCCGTAGCTCAGCTACTCCATACAAAGTTCAGCTACTCCACGTCACAAATTCAAGTTCATTCTGATTTTTCTCTGCCTTGTCTTGATCCATCAATATCAAATTCAACTATTCGGAGTCTTTCTCAATCACAATTAAGTCTATCGCCCCGACTCACCCTCCCGTATTTTCCTACCTTCAATTGAGATTGCCCGTAGCAGATTCTCGCAATGGCAACGGAAAGGTATTCATTAGCAGAGGTGCTAGCCGTCGCTAAGACGCACCCTTTCTACAACCCGGACATTGTATACCCTGCCGATGCAGAAACAATCCGGAATCTTCGGAAGACGGTCACTGACCAAGAGGCGAAGGCTAAATTCCAAGAGCAGCCACTTCTCGAAAAGAAAACACTGTAAGACAATATCGGACATCCTTCTACTGTAGTTAGCTAGACTAATTTAGCTCAGGTACAAGGCCATTGAACGACTCTCACATGATGTGGACCCGCGCAACACCTATCGACAAAGTTCCTACGTGAGCATTACTGGTGGTGGTTCTGGCGGGGTGCCGATGATGTTCGCCGTGGATGTGCACGAGAACCGTCGACAGAGAGCGCAATTTGGAGAATTTCTCAAACTGTGCGGTGTCATTCAGCCTGGAGATTGGGTCCTATCCACTCATGTAGCGGGAGGGTTTTACAGGTAATTGGATCCGAATTGCACGAGACGGCGCGATATTTTAACTAAGAACAAGGTCCCTCGATCTCACGACGGAAATCACAGAAAACGCCGGAGCCACCGTTCTCAGCGCCGGAAGCTACATGCCACCTGCGGATGTTGCTAAATCCCTAGCCGACTATCACGTCAACATCCTAACCGGCGACGGCAGCCAGGTCGTCCAAGTCGTCTACCACATCTCCCTCATGGCGCCGAAGGATCGCAATCGCATCGCCCTCGACAAAATCATCTACACCTCCGAGCCCTTAACCGGTCCGCAGCGAGCGTTCATCAAGACGGTTCTGGGCGACGTCAAGATAATTTCCATCATGGGAAGTGCCGAGGCAGGCCCCTGGGCAATCAGCAGCCCCGATCTGACCGGGGAGCAGAGCCTGACAAGCAACAGCACGGACTTCGTCTTCGACACGCGCAACATCCTGATCGAGATCGTCTCTCCCTGTGCCGTCGACGGCGTATCTTCGCCTGATCCAATCCTGCTTCCAGAGGGGGAACAAGGTCTCATCGTGCAGACATCTCTCCAACGACTGCGCAACCCGCTGGTGCGCTACATCACTGGTGATATCGGCTCCCTCCACCCCCTCCCGAGTGCAGCCTGTGCTGTAATCCCCGAGGCGGATCGGGACTATATACGTGTGTTGCGCATGCGCGGCCGCGACAATCGCTTCAGCTTCAATTGGTATGCCTCTTATTTCGAGTTTGAGAAGATTGATGCCCTCATGCGGGCGGACGACTGTGGCATTCTGCAGTGGCAGCTCATTATGGATCGATTGGAGAGTACGCCGCAGGCGACGCTAGAGATCCGGCTGCTGAGGTCGCCGCCTCGGGATGGTATTTTATCGGATGATGCTCTTATCAACCGCTTCAAGGCTTTCTTTGTTATAGGTTCGGATAATGAGGATCTCTTCCGAATCGTGTTTCTGGATAATCTTGGAGGATTCGAGCGGAGTGCTACTGCGGCGAAGATTATTAAATTTGTGAATCGATGGGATTGAGCCAAAAGTATTGTCTCTTCTGTTGAATGAGTGGAGACCAAATATTGCATCTTGGGAGTTGCTTTGCCACAAGTCTAGCGCGGACTCCGAGACTCCGAGCTTTAAATCCGGTAATCCGGCTTATCAGATCGCGTCCGGACTCCGATTTAACTTCTTGTTAAATCCGTTTATAGTTGATGGCCAACGGTCCAATCAGAATCACCGCTTTTCCAGTGTCGTATTTTCGCTTTCTCTATTGAGATGACCAGGTCGACAGTCTACGGTCTACCTTAACTCCGGCATTGCCAACCTGATACTCCTCTCACTTTATTATAGACGAACATTGTTTAAATAGATATCCTGACCCTTGATTCTATCAAATATCAAATTCATCATTTATTTCCAAGATATCTCATCTACACATTCTCCAGAACAATGTCTCTCTGTGGAAAAGTCGTCCTCATCACTGGCTCCTCCAAAGGAATCGGAAAGGCAACAGTCCTCCGCCTTGCCAACGAAGGAGCCAGCGTAATAATCAACTACCTCTCCGATGAAGCCGCAGCCAACAGCCTTGTCGCACAGATCGGGCCCGACCGCGCCCTAGCTGTCCAAGCCGATGCATCCAATCTGTCCGATCTCGACCGCCTCGTTGATTCTGCAGTCGCCAAGTTCGGGAAGATTGACATCCTCATTCCAAATGCAGGAATCCTCCCAATGAAGGACTTGGGGAATACAACCGAAGCGGATTTCGATAACGCATACAATCTCATGGTGAAGGGCCCATACTTCCTAGCTCAGGTGAGTACTAGATTACACTCTTGCCCTAAATCATGGCATTCATACTAACCGTGATCTAGAAAGCCACAAAGCACATGCCCTCCGGTGGCCGGGTCATTCTCATCTCTACCGGGATCACTGCTCTTTCCAGCGTCGCACCCGCCTATCTTCTCTATGCGTCTGCTAAAGGTGCCATCAATCAGATGGCTCGTGTCATGGCCAAAGACCTGGCACGGAAGAATATTGTCGTGAATGCCGTCGCACCGGGGCCTACCACTACCGAGCTCTTCTTGAAGGGGAAATCAGAACAGGTCCTCAATGCAGTCGCTGGGTTTAGTCCGTTTGGTCGGATTGGGAAACCGGAGGAGATTGCTAATGTCATTGCTTTTTTGTGTGGAGAGGATAGTAGCTGGATGTCAGGTCAGATTGTGCAGGTCAATGGCGGAATGGCGTAGTCCGGCCGCGGATATCTGCTGTCAACACACACTTTACGTTCGTCAATTCGGCCATAGGAACTCGAGCCTGAGGCTGGTATCGGAACTTGACTCTAGATAGAGGCTACTTTTGTCCTATGTTCGAGAGACTAATATGTGCAATGAGAGAACCAATGACCGTGTCATTTCTGAAAAAAATGTCCATGGCGTCTAAAGCCTGTATGAGGGAGACAGCTAAGTTGCCGTCCGTAGTATCTCACACCTGCTTGTCTTCTTTTCCGATCACATGGCAGATCTGAGGGTCTGTAGACTGGCATACCCAGCAGGAATCTCCAGCCAGCCGTTTGATCTCAGTCTTTATGGCGGTCGAGAAGACGTCAGATTTCGCATAAGACTCAGTTGATGCCAACGACATGGCAGAGGAAGATTTTGTGTGCCTAGATGCAAGAGACCTGGCGGTATGAGGGCGACGTGAGGACGAACTGAGCTCAGATGATTGTCTTCGGCCACCTGGCGAGGGTGGCGGTGGCATAACAGGTATGTGGAACTTGGGCGTAAACGCGCATAAAAGCCTGTTGTCCACCTATAGCATTGTGGCATTCGAACAGAGGACATGCGTAAGAGCCGAGAGACCGGTCTGCGCATTGGTAGCTGTGCTTATTGAGCATTCTGTCGATTACCCACTCCGAGCGCGTGGGCATATCGAGGGTCACCTTGTCGCCTGGATCTAGCCTCTCAGGGAACCATGAGCGTCGGACGGGGTATTCGTCGCCGCCGTCCATGATTAATTCGATGAGATGGCTGTTCTCCTCCGGGTTGAATTTCACACCCTAATCACAACCTCTAGCTCAGAAGAGCTTAGCAAAAGGAAGGTTGGTCCAAAAAAAGCACTCAGCAGCAATTAGCCACTGCGTACGCAGGCGTTGTAGCGGCGATCACTAGCAACCATAATTCACCAGTACCATTTCCCCCTCGTCAAGTCGGAAGTTTTTGCGGTTCCGGAAGTAATGGAAGAGGAAATATGCAACCAGCTGTTTCATCGTGCGAACGACTATTTTCCGGTCAGAAATTTTGACCAAGATAAACAATTCTGGTCGGATCTGACTTACAAGGAGTACCTTTCATTGTTATACAATGCCTGGCAGATCCTCTGCTGTTCTTCTTTATCACGACCATAGTCGAAACCGACTGCTTTCAGAAGCATCTCGCTAAAATGGTATTCTTGAAAGAATAGACTGGCAAATTCCAATAGTCTCGGATAAAATCCTGCTGATGCCCAGTCCAATAAACAGATACGGCCATCATCTAACCAGATAATGTTTCGGGGGGCTATGTCTAAATGACAGAGCACCAGTGGGGTAGGATCAAAATGAACCTTACCATCCCTGGGAAAAAGCCGGCTATTAAACCATTCTTCCACTTGCTGAACATTGCTAATGGTCAGATCGTTTGTATCTGGCCAGAGCAAGCCAATTGAAGGGCCACCACATAGACTACCAGCCCTATCGGCGGTAATAGAGCGAAAATACTCAAGAATGTAGGCGAGTCTTTGAATGTGAGAGTCTGAAAGATTATCGATAATCTTGCCCTGAATAAAATCCGATATTATATAGCCCCAACCCTCATCGTCCATAAAAAATTTATGAACCGAAGGGACTATAACGATATCTGGATTAATTATACTGTATGCTTTTTGCTGATTCTTTGCCTTATAGGAGGAGACAAACGGGCCGAACTTGACTACCAAGTCATAATCTGGTAGCTTAACGACTTGGTTACCAGACCTCAAGCCTCCAGTAAGCTGATCCTCTGGACAAGAGCGGCAATAGTCAATGATCGACTGGTTATTGTCTAGTTGAACAGTCATGGTGGCATCAGACATTAGAAGGGGTAGATAGAGTAAGAATGGGAAGGAAAACGATGGTACATATGATCTACCGTCTTGGATAATAGATAGTCCGATATCTCCTAACCGGGGCCAACCCCTCCAAAATGATAACTAGCTAAGCGATGTAGGGGTACCAGAAGCCTTACCTCCTCCATACCTGACCAACTTGAATTCAAGGAAATATGGTAAATTTGAATCAAAATCAAGTTCTAGCGGATGTCCGGCCTATTAGTCACATAAGAGTTGTGGTTCATACCGGTGCTGCAACAGATGGGTCGGACAACCATTGGTCGATATATCTCCTTCTTCGGACCGGTGGATCCGTGCGGGTGAATATGGTGACAGACTATGGAGAAATAGATGGGCTCGAAAAAGTCTCGAATGGTCAAATCTCACATATCTCCTCACAAATTCGGCGATACGGCACTGGGATTATCCGGTTACTATGGCTATTGAGGTTCGACATGTCGCTGATGCAATTTACCGAAATTTCCGCCATCGATATCAGTTCTCTGGTGGAGGATCTGGCTGTCGTTTTTGGGTGTGAGTATAGCTCTACTTTAAAATTAATAAATTATCGCCATTAATATGAATATAGTCGCACCATTGTGTACGACATCGAAAGCCGTCAATATATTGCCGTGGGAACATCAAATGACTTATGGCGACACCTACAATACCTATACCGCCGGGGCAGGGATCCTTTGCAAGTAAACTGGGTCCAGGGGACATTTATTACTCCTTAACAATGCTCTTTTATGTACATATGTTGTACTCAAGCCACCAGTCTGAATTGGAGGGAATAGTCAGAGATCTTGACTCATCCAGGGACCATTTTAAGACCGTCGCTTTGGAACCCCATAACTCGCTCAAATCTTCATTCGAATTCTGAGGTGCAAGGGGCTTCGGGAGGTGGGGTTATCATTTTCACTCCATTTTTACCTGCCAACCTGCCTGCCACCACAATGCCTGCCAATATAACGATTCATATTGAAAACGCCATTAGAGATGGCATCAAATATGCATTCAAAGATGAGCTGGTTAAGTTCATAGACATATTGGCGGATATAGTGGTGGGAAGCAGGCAGGCAGGTAAAAACAGAGCGAAAGATGAAGATCGAAGTCACGAATTGTCTGAAGTTACTTTGGACGTTGAATTCTTATTTATAGCCGACACGAATCATGTGATTTACTAGGCATCATTAGTAATTAGTAATATAGGGGCCTGACCAGGAGGCTTTACATGAAGTTTAACCTGGCACTGCCTGCTGTCTTTTGTGAAATGTTGTATTTTTTGAAAGGCCGAAAGGTCTATAGTGATGCGGCCAAATCTCCTCCTTGACTCTTGCTCTAGCCATATCTCTCGAGAGGAAACCCTCTGTTTCATCAGAGACCGTCCGATAGCTCGCGCTTGGGGACGCATTAATTAGGCCAAAGCCCAAGTCCATCCGCCAAGCCCGCAACTATCTCATAAAAAGCCCAGGCCCCGGGGTCTGGTAGTTGCTGACTCGAGGCATCCCCGACATACGTTGCTCGGCCGAAATTGGCCTTAAGATGTCTTGTTTCCTCCGCCTTTCTGGCAGCCACATCCACTGCTGACAGAAAGTCATTTGTTTTCGAAAATTCCTCGCTGAAAGGGAGTAAAACGTCCATAACAGTACGGTCTCCTTCCCTTGCTCCCGTGTGCGACTTCAGGGTTGTCGTCGCGGACGCCAGAGCAGTTGAATAGAAGTTTGGCGTATTAGGGCTGATTTCCCCCTCGAGTGAATTCTTTCTCATGGCTGTATAAAGAGCGGAAAGAAGAACTCCAAAAATCGCACCGAGGGTTCCACCCATGTCGTCGACATTCTGCAACACAGACCGGATTACCTCTAGCAGATCGCCTGAGGTTGTGCAGCCTTTATCGACACTTTGCAGGACTGATTCGGCCAAGCCTTGGACTGCCTCGCCGCAGTCTCCGTCTCCCATGACCATGTCCCACTGGGTCAACCTTGGCTCTGCTGCAATGGCTCTTTCGCACGAGGTCCTTATGGCTTTCTCCAATAGTAAAGGGTCAAATTTGATGCGAGGGGAAGCGATAATTTGGCTGTTTGCCTTGGCGTCGAGATTATCGAAGGTGGTCTTCTGTTGAGAAGGAGAGGGACGTGTGGTGTTCGGCCAAGAGACAGCAGTAGTGGCGCAATCAAAGTGCCGTACCAAGGTAGCAACAGATTCATTCGATTGCCGAGCTGCAGCGGTAAGGTTGCAGAGAGAAATTGAAAAGCCCGGCGCGTTAAGAGATGTTTCAAATGTACCAAATAATGTCTTGCAAGGTCTGATGTTCCATCGTGAGCTTAACTGACATTGAATCTCATCGGTCAGAGCAGATAATTCGAGGACAGAGAGGCCGCCATAGTTGTTGACCAGTAAACCAATTTCATCGCGCGGCTCAAACTTGACAAATCCTCGCTCTGTATCGGACTCATCGCAAAGGAATTTGAGACACTGTTCGATAAGCTTCTCGACGGGCGGGGCAGGAGAAACATGAAGCTGGCCGGGCTCATTGTGTATACCGGCGCCGACGACAACCACATTGTCTGGGACGGATGATTGTTGGTGTCTGCCTGGAACATGGCAATGGTCAAGAGCCGAGGCGATCGTAACCGTCTGCCCATTTACTGCTTGTCCCAGTGCAAGACACTGTTCAAAAGAGTAACCCTCCGATGCTGCTGCCCCGATGATCTTCATTGCTACGGCGTATCGATCAGCAGCCATCAAACAAGAGAAGAAATAAGAATCTTACTAAAAACATGACCAGGTAGCCCTCTCCTACCCATGTGGCTATTTTTACTTCTTCCAATTGAGACATCATCTGTAGCATGTAGAATGGCGATTTTCTCAACCAGACCTTCAGCCTTAGCTCTCTCAGCCGCAAGGCCAAAGTGAAGACGATCTCCAGTGTAATTGGTTATGAGTAGTATAGTCCCTTTCTTCGATGGTGTTGTCCTGATCGCAGCCAAGATTTGCTTCGCGCTTGGAGACGCAAAGATATCACCGCACGCAACAGCTGACAGCAGGCCATCGCCAACATAGCCACTCCACGCCGGTTCGTGTCCTGAGCCGCCTCCGCTGATAATGCTCACTTTTGAGTCATCATGGAACGCATTGGAAATCACTCTTTCTGTGTAGTTCAAGCTCAAGTGACCGTTTGCGGAGACAAGAGCTCGTAGCGCTCTTGGGACCAAGGAATTGGCGCTTGTTGAGGGGAAGTAGTGTTTGTCGGACATGGTTTAATGGGTGAATTATTGGTAGATAGAATAATGGGAAGGGATGAAGCAAGTTACCTTTAAATAAGTGGTTTATACCGTCTTTTAAAGTGTCCATCCCGACTTAGTCTCTCCATGTGACGATGGCTTCGCCAAGGGTTCTCCGAGCTTGGTAATTCCGTGAGTCCAAATTTGAAGAGTGAGAGATCCCGGAGTGGAGATAGCGGTGTTCAATTTCCGCACATGTTCCACCGTTGAGTCGGGAGGCCTAAGTTGGTACTGCCGTTGGAGCACATCACGAGACATCAAAGTCCTAGCCTAAAAAGGAAATCCCGCAGAATATTCCGAAAATGGCTGATGAAACTGAATTCGGCTTTTCCCTTCACTTTCGAGATATCATTTTCAAAAGAACGAGACTTCTTGATCAATTTATCCCTTCTTTTTAGATTTCTCTTACAACAGGTATTAAGTATCTTTTGTATTGAGTCGATATACAAAATATACCTAAGGGAACTGTGCTCGGGATGTGGGGCCGTCCGATCTAGTAGATCCGTGGTTTGACGAAAATCCCCGCCTCGGGGCCCACAAAGTTTATCAATCAGGTACGGAGGAGACCGAGGTCTGTACCTGCTTCATCAAACGAGTAGGTGATCAGAACAATAGGTGTTAACTAGGAGCCTAGAAATGGTGCAGTAAGCAAATGCCGAAGAATTTCATTTCCTTAGATTGGATGGATGGCAAGTATAACTAACTTGATAGACGCTTATTATGAAGAGGGTTTATTATGAATAGAATTCCTCTAGGCTAATTTACAGTGGTAAAGACAGAGTGGCTAGCCAGAAGGGATAAGAGATCAAGACGGGTTCAAGCTGGCTTGCACGAGCCAAGCAAGTCCTAGTACCAGAATTGAGGTGACTGGGATGATAGTAAGGACTCGTCCAGCAGTGAACCAAGTCTCATTCCTGCTATTCGCAAGTCTGACGCTCTGGGGCTTTAGAGATTCAGCAAATCTCTCAATCTACACACAGTTAGCATATGGCTGCAGACCTCTGTCGAATAGGTATTACTAACCTGTTCGCATGCAGTCTTGATCTCCAAGTAATTGGGATCTCTGGGGTCATTCTTCTGTTTAATTCGGTGGACAAAACGACAAAAGACCTTGCACACCCCCTGAAGACCTGCACCAGATTCGACGACAAGTCCAATCGCCTCCCTCTTGGTGATTTTGATATTTCGTTCGAAGAGAGCCGGGTTGCGGAAACATAACTCCAGTGTAGCCATCGCCATAGATTGGGGAATAGCACAAAATCTGAACACGCTCTGCTCGCGCAAGCCAGCAAGATACGACAAACAATCAGTCATATGTCTCAGAGCATCCAACACCATCTCAGAGCTGCATTTAAGGGCCAGCTCGTGATTCTCGGGTTTGAACAGGTCTTCGAAATTCTCGACGTGCTTGGACCAAATCTCTTTCGGCCAAAATTGTCGACCGTCATCATTATCTTCACGGATATCGCGAATGATATTGTTCTTTTGCAGTAAGAGGCCCATGGACTTTTGCAGGTGAGACTGATTGATCACACTTGCATCCGCCAGATCAGCTTCGACAAATAGGCGGGTTAGGCCCTCGCCGACCAAGCCAGCTACATACCAGCAATAGAGGTCGTACTCTTCAATCGTATTGACGGCTATATCTCCAACAGCCGCCTTTTCCGCGAAATCGGCCATGCCATTCCCCATTTTATCAGTGGTATCCTTGATGATCGCTTGATAGACAGGTTTCATTTGCCGAAATTCAGCAACCACGTTATCGAACTGCACTAATAGCTCGCGGTCCTTTTCTTCGGAACGATTGCCGGTGAAGGTCCACCCATCCTGCTCCAGGACATCTTTGAAGTTTCGAAGGAGCGGCACTTTTGTCTCGAGGGGGGATTGAAGTGTCGTCTTCGATGGTATCCAGACCACGTAGTATCAAGTAGAACACACAAACGGGCAAACGTAGCTCGGGATGCAGTTCCTTGACAACGGGACTGTAGCTGCGACCGGTTTGATCCAGGAAGTCGAAACAGATTTTGGTTGAAGACTCCTGCTGTTTATTTCTCTCGTGGATAGGATGACGCCGCAGTTTCCTATGAATGGTACGCAACGGTCAGTACCCTTCGCATGCAGTGTTTGTAAGGATGTTAGAGATGGCTATAGACTTACCATTGGATTATCGTGCGAAGCTGGTTCGGGCGAAGCGCAAAGTAAAGAATATCCGATATGAGATCCATAGTAGGGAGTTACAGGGTCTTGTTCGGAAAACTTTTCACAGAAGAACTAGTTAGGGGTCGATTGTTAGTTATAGTTGACTCCCACCAAAAACGGCCCGGAAACGGCCCGCTATCGCCTTCATCCTTTTTGGAGAGAATTATCTTCGTTGGAGGCAGAGAAGTTTCCTCGATGTGTATATCTTGACCATAAGTACATTCTTCCCCATTCACTTTCTATAAAGGTAGAAGCAGAAGACTGACTTGGCCCCGTCTATCCATTTAGCTCTACACAGCAGTGGAGCCCGTCAACCTTCCACCCCTTGAAGTTGCCTTCCACCTTTCTTGCACCTGCCAATCCAGTATGTCAAACGACGTATACTCAGATTCTATGCTGTAGACGTATTCAGTACGTACCGCAGCGAATACGTCTGCCTATTCCGTCCCACGAATCAAGCCAAATATGAAGATTCTCGATATCGGGTGTGGGCCTGGCTCCATCACATTGGACTTGGCTACTCTCGTTCCACAGGGTACTGTCATTGGCATTGACTACAGTGGAACTGCAATCTCTTCCGCCAAAGAGCTGGTTCACAAACGAAAAGTCGACAATGCAACTTTCGAGGTCGCCGATTTCCTAGATCTTCCGTACGAAGACGAGACATTCGATATCGTTTGCGCACATCAATTTCTCATTCATCTTCCCAACGCATCGTCTAAAATCGGAACCGTGGAAGGTTTGAAGGAGATGAGACGTGTTTGCAAAACTGGTGGCCTAGTTTGTGCGAGAGAATGCGATTGGAGGAGCGCTGCGGTCCATCCCTCAATCCCCGGTGTATTGGACAGCATGAAATTGATCGAAGATTTGACTGCTTTGAGAGGAACCTCCCCATACGGTGGAATGGCTCGGTTCTGGGCCCAGAAAGCAGGGTTTGCATCTGCAGATATCGATACCTCTGCCTCGGCGGTTTACTATTCGAGTCCTGAGGAAGTGAAGTGGTGGGGTGAGACGATGGCTCAGCGTCTGGAACAAGGGTCTTCGCTCGACAAGGGAGTAAGTGAAGGTCTCATTTTTGAGACGCAAAAAGACACACCTCCTTCAGGGTGGAGAGCATGGTCTGAGCAATCCGATGCTTTTTTCTCTATGACGGATGTTCAACTTATTGCAAGAAATAGATGGCATGCGCTTTTGTGTGACTACGTCGTTCTGGTATCCTAAAAAGTGATCAGATGGGAAGCTGTTTAGATTTTCATCAACATCGGTCACTCGGCTTTGCTTTCGGGTACTCGGTAAATATGGTCAATCAGATTCGGTTTCCCAGGGCACTGACTATATTTAGCACGTTCTACCAAGGTTGACTCCTTCCCAGAAAGACCGACGTTCTAGGTACAAACTATGTCATGTTGGTTGACAACTTGACATGCCAGGTTATTATAACCCACTTCTGTATTCCGGATGCACCCGCACTTTCCGGAAGTTCCGAGATCCTTGCCACGCCAAATATGAAATGAATTTAGAAAGGCAGGAATGAGGAATTGGCTTCCAAAGAATATAGAAGGCTTCAAAGTGTAAGGGCCCAGGTGGGATAGCTGAAAACTTAGTCATCATATCTAGTTGAAATCTTTGTTGTTAAAAACTTATCGGCGGCAAACACGCTATTATACAATATCTGCAAAGCTCCACACAGCAACTGTTACACGTATCCATCCTTGAAATGTGAACCCAACGGACAGGATTCGGAAGTACACAAACGAACTCGGGTAACCTTCGTTGTTTGCTGGACCCGCAATTAGGCCTTATTCGCAATATGAAGGCGAGATGTGCTCTCCAAGGGGTTTTGTGAAGTCCACATTATATTTCGGTTATTGAAATACTAGTCTCAATAATTCAGATAGGCTCGTTCCCCCCCCGTTTACGGAGTACAGCACAGACGTTGAGACCACGTGGTATTAGATTAGGAGATGCCCCTTCAATGCCTAAATCCCTTCCTAAGATAACGTCTCTCTCCACTTGTCAAATCCAGTTTAGTCCGGATTGTTCGTGATAGAGCGGGTCGACCGGTCTGTGCGAACTGAACATCGAGAACGTCGCGTGGTGTCTATAAAAAGAAACATTCGACCTGGTGAGGTACAGGTTAGATGGTACTGTCCTCGATTCTATCTACAACATACTCGTCGACCAATTTCAACTAAATCAATACGCCGTACGCAGATATCAACATCTCTACATGAAACACATGCGCATTGTCTAGGCTCTCCGGATATTGAGGCGCTAATTTAGTCGAGTCTCCCCACACCCCCTTTTCTTTTCTGCAACGCTCTCTTCTTCTCCTCTGCACCCGTGGACTCTTGATGACTTCTGGGGAAATCGTATCCCTCTTTACTCTCATTCAATTGATTTGAAATCTCGACATTCTTTAACCCCGCTGTCCCGCTAGCCATAGACCCTGTACCTCTCTCACTCCTGCTTATCTCAAGTCTCGGCCTTGGACCGGCGCTTACCGAAACCACTATCAGTAAGCCCAGCCTCTTATTTATACCCAGACACGTCAACGTGGATCGTCAGGGACTGACCCGTTCTTCACAGAGACGTCAATTTTTCCTCCGGCATAACTCCGCTCGCGTTACGTTCCACCGCGTTCCACCACGTGGGATCGTCGCCTTCACATTCTCTCCAGTTTCAGAACACCCAATCTTAAGCCTATCCACCGCCGCATTTTGCATTTCAACCGTCACAATGGGTCTCTTCGATAAACTACAAGCCAGTACGTTCCGCGACTCCCGAAAAAACATCCAACCGATGCTACGTCACTGGCGAATGCAATGAAACCTTGAAATACTGGTATAACTAATACAAAAGCAGAACTCGAACTCTACCGCCTCGAACAGCGCTATGCGCGTCGCAAGCACCGCAGCAACTTCTCCACGGGTGCGCAATACGTCGACGGCGAATATGTCTACACGGGCCCAAGCTCGCCCACGAGTACCGGCTCCTCCAAACAATCCACTGCTAGCTGGCGCCCATCAGGATGGAGCGGCCAGTCCCAGTCATCCCGATGAAGGACATTTCCAGTCGACATGTCTGAGCGATTCTTTGTGTTATCGGTGTTCTTTTTCTTCTACTTGTCTTTAGCATTTTCACCCTTGTTCTCTCGTTTCTGAAGACTTTTTCTTCTGTTCTATACCTTTGCGTGATGCTTCCGCGGAGTCTCGACGAATTCTTGTACAGTCACCCTGTCTGTTTTTTTTTTTTTTTTCTTTGTCTTTTCTGGGATTGTTTACCCCCCTTTGTGTCTCAGTCTTATGATATCTATGTGTTAGCGGGGAGCAATGTTCGAAAAGTTGGGATCTGGTTTCTCATTTTAGATCTTGATACCTCCTGCGATATGCCTGCTTGGTCATGTGCTGCTTCTCATCTTCGTCTTGTTTCATAGTCATCTACTTGGACTTTGATATACTCAACGTCTAAGATTGAAACCATTTATCTCTGACATTTTTCTTATTCAAGTCATCAGTACAAAAATAGTCGGTGCTCACGGGTCTGTCCTTGGCGCCATACAACATACGACTTTAGTAATTAGATCTATTTGGCCCAAGATGATATCAGGGGTATTATATCTACATTTAAGGATGTCTTTTAGATATTTATACGAGTACAGCTCACAATTTTTGCCTTTGTATACTAAAAGGGGGCGCCAAGTAGTCAAGACCCTGTTTCGAAGCTGGGGTGGGTTCTTTGTTCTTATATTTCGTTTATCTTGCTTATGATCATCACGCATACTGCACCTAAGATAATCATACATATAAAAAAGCTTTAATTCCATCGCAGCTTACGAATCCGGCACCTGCAGGTGTACGACTTATCTCCAAAATACTAGAGCTAAAGCCCAAGGCGGTAAGGCTCGAGCGCGCAGACCTTACGTCACACCACCGCTCTATCTCCACACTGCCAACGCATCTCCCTCACCTGTTCATTGGCATTTTGCTTGTGACTACGATCGAAAAGCTGCCGGACGATTTGGGCTTTTTTGCTTGTGCGCCTTATCACCACACTTACCCCCCACACCCAACTTCCAAGCTCCCGACCGTCTCGCGAAACAGACGCGCTGAGATACCTTCCATTCACAATGAGCAGTGCTTAGCCTACCATACTGGGGAAAGATTGCAGCATAGGCTGCTTTGACAATGGATCAAGCAATCCAGCGGTTATTGAATGACAAGCTCTACGACAGGAGGAAACAGGGAGCCTTGGAGTATGTCAGCTCGGTTTCACCGCTCCACACTTGAAAGAACCCACACTGACTGCTGTCTCCTTACACTAGGCTCGAGAAGATTGTCCGTGACGCTGTTTTCCAAGGAGATCAGGAGAAAATACAGAAGATCGTTGAGCAACTCTGCCACGATTATGCATACGCCGTGCACCAACCCCATGCCCGGAATGGAGGCCTGATCGGATTGGCTGCGGCCTCGATTGCACTAGGATCGGTAAGGGGTGGCTATAACTACTACTTGAAGGACTCGCTGATTGATACCTGGGATGTAGGAAGGAGTCGCGCCATACTTGGGTGAAATTGTACCACCTGTGCTCGCATGCTTCTCCGATCAAGATGCACGAGTGCGGTACTATGCATGCGAGAGCATGTATAACATAGCCAAAGTGGCCAAGGGAGAGATATTGCTGTTCTTCAATGAGGTTTTCGACGCGTTGGCTAAGGTGAGAGGTGCCGATCGGTTTAATTCGGGTAACGCAGCTGACATTCAATACAGCTTGCATCCGATGCAGAGCTATCAGTCAAGAACGGCGCGGAGCTTCTGGATCGCCTGGTGAAAGATATCGTAGCTGAATCTGCTGCCTCGTATGTATCGATCCTACAGCTCTCTGAGAAGGATACTCCAGAATTGGAGAATCAGGATGAGCAGGAACTTCCCATGGCGTTCTCTCTCGCACGATTCATTCCTCTGCTTAAAGACCGGATTCATGTGATCCAACCGTTCACTCGCAACTTTCTGGTCTCGTGGCTTACCCTTCTAGATACAATTCCTGACCTGGAGCTCGTGAGCTATTTGCCAGAGTTCTTGGAGGGATTGATCAAGTTCCTTGGTGGACCTAACAAAGACGTGAATATTGCAACCCAGGGTTTGCTTGATCGATTCTTATCGGAGATCAAGAGGATTACCCGACTTAAGAAGGGGATTGAGGAAAGCCGGAAGGGCCAGAAAAGCAACAGACAGTCGCCCACCAGCGATACGATGAGCAATGCGACGGGGCAAAATTCCCAGGCCGATGGTGCCAGTGACCGCAGATTTGACATGGCCGTCGCAGACTCGGCCTCGGATTCGACACTCGATGATGATGAACTCGCTCAGGCAGATGGAGATTGGATTCCGGGACAAGATGTACAGATCGACCACCCCAAGATTCTCAATATCCTTGTCGGCTTTGTCAATACCACCTATGGTAAGAGTGGCTTTACCCCCTCTGATTCTCATATTCTTACGTTGGTTTAGAGGAGGAAATGCAATTGACGGCCCTTCGTTGGATTGATGCCTTTTTCGAGATCAGCCCTGAAGATATTCTTCCTTTCGTTCCGCGGCTGCTCACTCAAGTACTCCCGGCCATGTCCAGTGGCTCGGATCAAGTACGAAAAGCAGCAAACCAAGTCAATACGTCCCTTGTCCAATACATCTACTCCTTGTCAGATGATACAAGCGAGGAATCCCAGGCGCCATCGTCAAAACTCCCTTTCACTACAGCCAGCAAAGAAACTATAGAGCGAAGGTCGTCGACTCCCGGAGTCCGGCCTTCAGAGACAGCGAACATTGACACAAAGAAACAAACAGCCCAAGATAATTCCATTGCAACTACACCACCACGTAGTAGCAATGTTTCCACGCCGCTTCCTCCCGTCGACCTTGATTACGCCGCTGCTGTCAACTCTCTCACTCTCCAATTCCTCAATGAAAATGAAGCCACTAGAGTTGCGGCCCTTGTATGGCTCATCATGCTCCACCGTAAAGCCCCACGGAAGGTTGTCGCTTTCAATGATGGTACCTTCCCAGCTTTGCTAAAGACACTATCCGACCCTTCAGAGGCGGTTGTAACCAAAGATCTGCAGCTCCTTTCGCAGATCTCAAGAAACAGCGAGGATAGCTATTTTACCTCTTTCATGGTCAACCTGTTGCAGCTCTACTCCACTGACCGACATCTACTGGAAGTCCGTGGAAATCTGATCATCAGGCAGCTTTCTTTGAACCTGAGCCCGGAGCGTATCTACCGGACTTTGGCAGAATGCCTCGAGAAAGAAGAGGTGATGTTTATTGCACATTTTGGGATACTATATGCTAACGTATCATCAGGATCTTGAGTTTGCTAGTATCATGGTTCAGAACTTGAACAACAACCTCATCACAGCGCCTGAACTCGCGGATTTAAGAAAGCGCTTAAGAAATCTCGATTCCAAAGTAATACACCCGGACACCCTGTCTTATATCTTGAGATTAACGAATGATTTAGGATGGTCAAATGTTCTTTGTTGGGCTTTTCAGATCATGGTGCCACAACGCTGTCTCTACGTTTTCTCTCTGTCTTCTTGCCCAGGCCTATGAGCAGGCATACAATCTCCTCCAGGTCTTGTCAGTATACCATCTCCATCCACCACGATATCCGCTGACAGAACCATCATAGTGCCGAATTGGAAATGACAGTTAATATGCTAATCCAGATCGACAAACTGGTGCAACTACTCGAGTCACCTGTATTCACATGTCCGTTTCTTTCCATCAACCCAACATTAGTCCAAAAACTAACCCCAACAGATCTCCGCCTCCAACTCCTTGAACCCGAAAAATACCCCTTCCTGTACAAATGTCTCTACGGCGTCCTCATGCTCCTCCCGCAGAGCTCTGCCTTCGCCGCCCTCAAGAATCGTCTGAACAGCGTTAGCAATATTGGTTTCCTCCACGGCGGAATCCGCAGGTATGGCTGCTGCTCTTCGCATTCTACCTCAAAGTTTACTGAGACGAACTTTACTAGCACCACACAAACGGCCCCATCATTCGACCGTGCTACAGGCACCCGCCTGAAAACCCGTGACGAGAACTCCATCCGCTGGGTGGAACTCCTCGACAAATTCAAGTCCGTCCAGGAACGAGCCCGTCGAGCAGCCCTGGGCCCCACCCGCCACTCCTTCGACCAGTCCGGCCCTATGAGCAACCCCTCTCTTACAGCCGCTCTCTCCGTCGCTGCCGCAGACCGTCCCAGACACCGTGCCAGTCTGTCCGATACTCCGCGCAATGCTTCGGGCGCCAGTAACGTCACTGTTGGAAATTCCGGGCTGGGTTCTAGTCATGGCGCCAGTGGCACCACTGTCGGACGTGTATTGGAGAGCAGTACGAAGGCTGGACCATCTGCTCACAAACACAAGTCCAGTCTTCCGAATTTGGGCCGGCTGGGTATTGGATCACGGAAGTCGTCCAAGAAATAGTTACATGTGTAGCTGAGCTGGAACTTCCAGGTTGTCTCCTGCATAGACTTTGTTTTCGTGTCTTGTACTTAGCTGGATTCGTTTTGTGATCATACCCGGGATCGTTCGTCTGTGAATAGTTATCGCGTGTGTGAATAGGTTCGATGCTTCTCAATAACATCATATTTCTTAACCTCTCATTTGTCTATTGACTGCTTTGGTATACGTGGTATACGTCTAGTGATCTTTGAGTATGGTATTCAACCATTCATTTTTCAGCAAGATGTAACTATTTGTGATACAACAAAACAAAACATTGAATTCGTTCTATGGTCATAATTGTTCGCTTCCAAATGAATACGCTCCAAAGATACAATGTGCCACAATACTATAGCAAACTCCGAACCTGCCCAAGTATGCCAAATAAGTGTAGCAGTGTATCAGTGGCTGATGTACTGGAAAATAGCCGAAACATCCTGTTCCCCACTCTCTTGACGAAGAAGCAGATCCTGGATTTGATTGAGTGGCCCCTTCTCGCCGGTATTGACAAAATGGTTCCACGAACTAGTATCACCATACAGCATGGCGGGGGCCTTGATACATTGCAAGCCGTCGGGCCGACACCGTTTGCACTTGAATGTGTCATGAGTGTCACTCCGAGTGTCTGGTTTGAACTGGAAAAGTTCTCGCAGGGAGTCGAGGGAGAAATGACGCTCGACATCTTCTGCGGAGTCCACAACACATGACGAGAGGGACTGTTTGTGAGACTGGCGCTGGAAGATCTTCTCTTCAATCGAGCCTGTTGCAATGAACCGGTAGACGAAACAGTCTTTCTTCTGTCCGTCTCGCCACACTCGTGCCAGCGCTTGCTGGTCAGCGGCTGGATTCCAGTCCGGATCGAATAGTACCAGCCGGTTGGCGCCGATTAGATTCAATCCACACCCGCCGGCCTTGCTACTTAGGAGGAATATAAATTCCGGACTTTCTGGGTCATTGAACTTGTCCACTAGCTTTGTGCGCTTCTTGATGTTCATGCTGCCGTCGAGGCGCAAGGAGCCGTAACCCCGCGACCGGCAGAGCTTTTCGAAAAGATCTAGGGTCTGAGTGTAATTGCTGATGAGGACGATTTTGTCGTTGGTGTCTTGTCGAATTCGGGCTAGCATGCGATCGAGCACCATCATCTTGCCGGAGTACCAACTCTTCATTTCTCGATCGCGACCTCGAGAATCGGGAGGCGAATAGTCCTCGGGGAACGTGTGCTCGCATCCTGGAAGGTCGTTCGCTAGATCAAGCAGATCCGGATGATTGCAAAGCTTTTTCAAAAGACCAATGGCTTTCAGCGGCTGACTGCCTTTGCCGCGAAGAAGGCTTTGGATATCCGGGCTCTTAATGAAATGGTTGTACAGACCGCGCTGGAACTGTGACATGTTGCAGAACACAACGTGCTCATACTTGACGGGCAAGTATTTGGAGAGGAGCTCATTGGTTCGGCGGATGATGAACTTATTGACAATCCCAGAGAGCTCCAGTAAGCGTTCATCTCCCAGCTTCTTATCTGCGTCTGTGCCTGCGGCATCCCGGCCTCGCAGAATCGGTAATTCGAATCTCTTCCGGAAATCGGCCTGGGAGCCGAGAAGATTCGGGTTCGCGAAGTGAAGAAGAGCGAAGTACTCGGACAGATCATTCTGGATAGGGGTTCCAGAAAGAATCACTCGGCGAGTAACATTAAGTTTATTCAAAGCAGTCCATGTCAAGCTTTCCTTGTTTTTTAGTCGATGACCTTCGTCACATAGAAGAAGTCCGATCGGGGTATCATTCAAAGTGTCCGCATACATACGGAGTGTCTCGTAGGACACAATAAGGACGGGCCTGACAATTCCACGCCCTGATGCAATGGCCCATTGCTTAATCTGTGTTATCAACTCAGCCTTCGTGGCCTTTCCATCGATCGCAAAAGGCGTGGTAGCGTCCTTTCCAAGCCATTTTACTGATACGGCGGTCAGTCAAGCTAATAAGAAGGGTACGCATAACTCACCCAGTTCGTTGGCCCAATTACCAACTAAACTTGACGGACATGCAATGACACATTTCTGAATGGTAGTTCTTCCGGCCTCGGGGGCCTGCTTGAGTAGCGTCCACATCAATGCGATGCATTGAAGCTATGTTCGTTAGAAGCAAGGTATGAAACATGGTTGGTCAATCTTACCGTTTTACCAAGTCCCATGCCGTCTGCCATGATGCATCCATTGGCGTTCTTGTCAACCAGCCCAGTAACACATCGATAAAGGAACTATACGTAAGCGTAGTGTCAGCTCTTCTCCCATGGCACAGCTTATCTCGGGGCGCAATACCTTCACACCCTCGACTTGATGTGGCCGAAGCACTTTGCACAGTCTCGGATCAATCACGACAGGCACCTTTGGTCTTTCCTCCACGTTCTTTTTGAGCCCCAGAATGTCTGCTAGACTCTTATGTATAATTGGCTCATCCAATGTTGGCGTATCCTCCGTCGGTGCTTCTGGGTTTTTGGGCGCAGGTGCCTCGGCGATGTCGTCTACTGTGGGGTCGTATAGAACAATCGCAAATTCTCCACTGGGGTCATGAAGTGGCTTGACCACAAATGTCGCGCCTTGTCGCATCCCCAGTGTCGGAGCCACCCGACCGGAACTGTATTCGCCGGTGGCTTTGTTGATGAACGGAACCTGAAATCGTGACCTGAACGCCACATCTTTGTCCCTCGGTTTATACGCGGGGAATCTGTTGGCCTCTCTTGTTTCCAAAGCGAGTCGGTCATCATTCGTGTATGGCTTCTCCCCTCCATCTTCCACGCTCCCATCGGCGTTGGCATAGTTGACCTTTCGTCTCTTTCTCGATGGTTTTTCAGATGCGCGAGTCGGTGTTGCAGTCCCTGGACATTTGAATGGCCTTACAAGTCGGTCGATCGAGTTCTGAGTGTTCACAGATTTCGGTTGTAAGGGAGTCTTGACGCTGTCGTCGCCACCGGCCGGGCGTTGTCGATACCTTCCAGGCATGTCAGCATAGGAACTTGAAAACAAGTAAGATGAGGACTTGCATTTGGTCCCAAAATAGACAAAACAAAAAACCAAGCTCCTGCTGTACAATAATCCCAAAGTTGTGGCGAGGCAAGTGCAATGAGGTCGACGCGTCGCGCGTTCGCCTGAGGCTTCCAAACACCAAACTGCCGCGTCCCAAAAATAGCTGACCGCCAAATGGGGTATGTGGTCCGAGCTTCCCGGGGCGTTATTTTTAGGAAGTCACGCGCGATACCCCTTAGTTTGCTACACAGACCTTCTCTCGCATTAACACAAACCGACTGCAGTTGCCCAAACAACATAGGTGTACAGTGCCTAGGTAGCCTCGCTCACTAGTGCTGCCTGTATTCTTTAACAGGTCCAATATATCTCAAAATGAAAACCCTCCCTTTGCTAAGAGGAAATAGTATTTCCCTGGAAGACGCCCTGACTGACGATGACAACATCCTGCACCGCTTAGACTATCCGCAAAAACAGGAGGAGTTCTGGTCGTATCTGTTTGCAAATAGAAGCGAAATCGAATCGGTGGTTTCATTCCATCTTCGTGTCAAGGATTGTCAAGTCGCTGACCAAATTGATTGGTTATATGGGAGTTACAACGTCTGCATTCCAGTCTATATCAACCTGCCGTCAAAGGAGTGTGTCCTTATTCGAATTCCGCTACCTTACAAAGTTGGGGAAGAGAACTTCCCAGGGAATGTCGATGAGAAGTTGCGCTGCGAAGTTGCCACGTACATTTGGATACGGGAAAATTGCCCCGCCGTTCCAATTCCCACCCTCTACGGGTTTGCATTTCCCAATGGGCAGACTGTATGTGAGCTTATAATCTCTATTTGCCTCGGAAGTCTAACTTTGTTTACTTAGTTTGCTGAGGAGAGCTGCATGAATTTTTCTTCTCGGTGGCATTGGCGCATCATGCAAACCATGCGATCATGGGTTGGCTTTCCCAAGACCTGCCCATATATCGGGTTTATGGCCAAAAATGTGTTGAAAACTGGATACATGATCATCAGTTTTGTGAGGAACGGTCAAATGCTCTCCAATACCTGGGCAGATCACCTCCTGAGCGACAAGATACGAAGGCAGACTCTTTTCGGTGATATTGCGAATATCATGCTTTCACTCAATCGCGTAAAACTACCCCGAATCGGATCTTTGACTTTGGACGATGATGGCCTGATTGAGTTGAAAAATCGACCCCTAACATTACGGCTCCAAACATTCGAAAATGAAGGTATCCCCACGATACCAAGAAATTCTACATACCAGTCCGTGGAGCCTTATATTTTGGATCTTTTGCAGCTCCACGACAATCGCATCCATCATCAACCAAATGCTATTCACAATCTGAAAGACGGCCAGGAACAATTCGCGGCTCTAACCATGATGCGTGCTCTCTTGCCTCAATTCATTTCCCGTCAATATCGCGATGGGCCATTTGGGCTTACACTAACGGATCTCCACGCAAGCAATATTTTCGTTGATGAAAATTGGCACATTACGTCTTTGATTGACTTGGAATGGGCATGTTCTTCTCCAATTGAGTTACAAACACCGCCTTACTGGTTGACTCGTCGATCTATTGATGATATTCCACACGGGGAACATCTCGAAACGTTCCAAGAAGTCATGACTGAATTCATAAATGCCTTTGAAGAACAGGAAAAAGGTCTGCAGACTTCAGATGCTTCTCAGGCCGATATCATACGAAAATTCTGGGAAAGAGGTAGCTTCTGGTACATTCACGCTGTCCATAGCCCAAAAGGTCTCCTCCGGGTATTCAATGAGCATGTCCAACGCATGTTCTGTGAGGAGCATTGTACCCAGCCAGTGTTTGATCGGACTGTCAGTCCATATTGGTCTGTGGGGGCTGAAAAATTCATCGAAACGAAGGTGGAGCAAGAAGCAGAGTTTAAGGATCGAATTAGGAAGCGGTTTGGTGAAGTTGATCAAGAAGGCTGATTCGTGTGGTTGCGGTCATACTACCCATGGACGTCGTGACTCGCCATGCGTGCCAAGAATTGAACTCCTACCGAATCGAGATTAGCGCCGTTGACAACTCTCCGCATACAACTTGCATTATGTTACAATTCAGAAAGGGATTTCAATCTAGGCTGTATTTAGTTGCTTTAAGTTGACTAAATACGAGAATCTCGCTTTCTCGTCTCGTCGATTCTATCTGATTCTATGACACATAAATGAGGGCCTTCTAATCTACAACATATATGTAGATACAAAGAGATACACATTTTACAATTGATCTTTGAACCTTCAGGTATTACTTTTGCAGAAGATTATCCCGTCTGTTTATGCAGTATATGTAGTTATCTGTACTGTCTCAACGGCCCGAACTCAAAAACTCCCAAGTGACCTGACTACATATATATACCTGCGACCTCTGCTATGGGACACAACCCGCCGCTTTGATAAGATGCACATATAGGTTCAGGACACACTCTTTATCCAGTGACACCTCCCCGCTATTTGCAGCTTCCGTAGTGCATCAAAGAACAAAGGCCCCGCAATCACTTCAGGATATGGTCCATCTGCCTAGGCCCGCCCCGGGGTGGTATATATTCGCCGGCACGTGATGGACCACCCCACTATGGAAATCTGGGGAGCTTGGAATCATTACGAGTTGTGTCAAGAATCTTCAATCTGGCCCTTGGAGCTGACATCTCATGGCCGCAGACTTCTGGGCTGGCTACATCAGCGGAGCCATTGGGATTATCATCGGCAATCCCCTTGATGTCATCAAAGTCCGGCTGCAGGCGGGACACTCACATGCAGATGCATCGCGGGCACAATTGAGCCGCTTCGAAAAAGCAAGCTCTCTTGTTCGAGGTCCGTGCCACCCCGATTCAGCGATACCAATAGCAAAATCAATTGACCATCGTTACAGGCGCGGCTGCTCCGATCTTAGGCTATGGAGCTCTCAATGCGATTCTTTTCGTTGCTTACAACCGATCGCTAGCAGCATTGGACGGGTCCGTAACGGATCCCACCAATCCCGTGGGGGTGTCGGCTTACAAGATCTGGCTGGCCGGTGCGGTAGGCGGACTAGCCAGCTGGTCCATCTCCTCCCCAACAGAGTTCATCAAATGTCGGGCACAGCTGGATCGCCGGCCAGATGTCTCGTCGTGGACGGTCGCCAAGGATATTTTCCGAACGCGTGGTTGGAGGGGTCTCTACTTTGGGGGCTTGATTACTAGCGCCAGAGATTCGATTGGCTATGGATTCTAGTATGGAACCAACACGCCACTCCCGGCTACCCCAGTGTATCAATCTAGGGGATCTAGTGCTGACGTAGCGCAGTTTTTGGTCCTACGAACTTTGCAAACGATTTATGACCTCCCATGATGAGGGTTCTCACCAGGCTGCTTTGAAGATTCTGCTTTGCGGTGGCATTGCCGGCGTTGTTACTTGGGGCTCGGTGTTTCCTTTGGATATGATCAAAACACGACTGCAGGCACAGACAATTACGGATTATGCGCCTGGGACTGAGAGCCAATCTCTGTTACGTTCACAGCGCCAGGCGTTGAATTCTTTCCAGATTGCGAAGGAGGTCTATCATGTCGAGGGTATCAAGGCTTTCTATCGTGGCCTTGGAGTCTGCAGTGTCAGAGCGTTCATTGTGAATGCCGTTCAGGTATGTTTTCTGCTCGTTGTCATGAACTAAACAACTGACATCTGCTAGTGGGCGGCATATGAATGGTTGATGAAGAGCTTTAATCATTCCTGGGATGCGCAAGTGACAAGCCAGGAGCCCATCGCGGGCCTGTAACCACCACCGAGGTTAGAATATAGAAGATCTAAAACACATCAACACAGCAGCAGCCAAGCTACGCAGTTACCGGGGTCCGATTTAGGTTAGATTCTATTTGGTATTGAGGTATTTATATTGGAATTACTCGGTAGTATTGCTAGTAAGGGGGTAAATTTCGCCCAGATGTTGTGTTTTCGCCGATAGTCGGCAGTTTCGAGTCACCCGCAAAACGGAAGAGCGAAACCCCGGCGAGTATCGGCAATATAAAAAATAATTGCCTCACGTGATACTCCACCGATATGCATGAGGAAAGTCATCAGAATGAGTCTAGATGGATTGTCCTGGAAACTTTTGTATGTCGATTTGCGTACATCGAATGTTGGAAAGGGTATCATGGTCGCGTAGCAAAGGTTTGATTTTTATCCCAGAAGGCGAAGGTCAAGCTTCGATTCACTCCTTCATCTCGTCCGAGTTTTCTTCGCGCTTGCCGTTGTCGATGAGGCCTAGTCCGATCGCACGCTCGGCGAGCAATTGGCTGTGAGGCTCATCGCGCAGGATGCGAAGTCTAAGGGTAGCTAGTTAGCGATGGGATATATCATATAAGACATGTGCGTCGGGCACTCACCTCCGCTTGTGGTTCTTTCCTCGGGCGTGCGCCTTGAGGTTGTAGTCGCTCTCAAACCATTTGGCGCACTCTGTGCAGTAGAACTTGCCTAGACCAGGGAGGTCCTCCACATCCTTCGAGTCCTTGTACTTCTGGAGGTGACGGGGAGTTTTGATATCCGCGACGACTTGATCGTAGTCTCTGTGGGTGGGTTAGCCAAAAATAGGTACATAGACAACCCCTATGCCCGACGTACCTTGTGCGGCGCTTGTTCTTGACTTTCCTGAGAGCACCCATTGTCACGGATAGCCGAAATATCTCGGAGCTGGAGCCGAGCAGTATCAAAATAGATGCAAGGGAATGAAAATTGGTTATCACCGATTTCCGGAGTGAACGACGTGCAAAGCGGGTCAAGAGAGGCTTTGAACAACAAAAGCGAGTGTTCGAGACGAAATTTCCGCCGATTGTGGGTCCTGGCCAGCGATTGAAATGCGCGGCTGCTGATTGGCTGGCGATCAGAGACGGCACCTTGATGGGCGATGTGGGATTGCCATTCGGCTCACCTCGGCTTAGTTGATTTCGTCACCGTACATCGCTGTATTTAATGACGTTTGCATGAGGTATGAGGTATGTGGTTTGCGATATGTAATTCGAGTCTAAGGGTTGAATGGCTACTTGAATATCTACACAGATAACGTAGATCTAGGTGTCGGATATACTATAGGATCTAAAGTCCTGTCCAGGTAAATCTATTAATATAGCACTATATCGTGGCATCATCGACTAGTAAACAGATGTTGATCATTGGCGGGCCTCATCCCTATGAAACCCATCAAAATCCACATGTACGTCAAGCTATCTTTTGACGGATAGCACGGGGTACAGGCCGGAAGAGTTACCTGAAGGCACATTGACCATTCCAGAGCCCTTTGGTCCGAAATGGGAGAGCTGGGCGAAAGGGGCCATGTAATTGGAAACTCGCTGATTGGTGGCCGAGTTATACCCGTCACATGCCTTGTATCGAGATTACGGTCCCGGTACATCCCCAGGCAAACACACAGGCCACGAAGGTTGAATATGAGAACTTCACATAGGGAAGACAATATGGAGAGAAAAAAGATCGGCTATATATCCTACGTATGAGCTATTGTCTAGGGTAGTAAATCCTGAAAAAATCCAGCCAAATCTCGAGATTTCTCGGCTATAAGCAGCCTCTATCAAATTGCCCAGCCCGTCTTGCCGTCGCATGCGGCAGGCTTACTTTAGTACAATACCAACGTATCGTATCGCCGTGGTAACAGCGGTTACGGCTCTACTCCCGGTCCCCGTAGAACCTTTCTCCCACTCAAAACCAAGCTTTAATCCTCTTCTTCCTTTCGATCTCTTCTTTTCTCATACTACTCTCCACTCTCATAGTTTGGTGAATAGCTCTTGGATGTGCAATCCCATCTCGTAGAGCTTCCATCATGATTTCTACACGCCTCGCGCGCGCTGGTGCGCTGGTACGTCTTCCCTCCCTCAGCTCCAGCTTATTATTGCCACATGGCAACAATCCTGAGTGCCAGTCGATTCTTGATGGATGGATAACTAACTTGTCTTGAATATAGGCCCCTAAGTTCCGTCTTGTAAGCAACGACCTTGTTTCCAGGCTTCAAAAACATGTCGCATGGCACATGTGCTGGCGTGCATGATAGCTCTGACATAGCTACACCTGCAGTTACTGACTTTTCAATGTTTAGATGACTGGAAGCCGGGCCTTCGCTACTACCGTTGACCCCCTCGACCAGAAGGTTGAGATGACCAACCACGAACATGTGAGTGGCTGCCAGCCTAGCGCCCAGAACCCGGCGTGGAGTACGATTCCAAGCAATAGCGACTAACCTATTTCATCTTAGGGTCACTACATCAACTACAAGAAGATGTCCGAGAACCTCGCCATCGTCCGTTCCCGTCTGCAGCGCCCTCTCACTTTCTCCGAGAAGGTCCTGTACTCTCACTTGGACGACCCCCACGGCCAGGACATCGAGCGTGGTGTCTCTTACCTCAAGCTGCGCCCCGATCGTGTTGCTTGCCAGGATGCCACCGCCCAGATGGCCATTCTGCAGTTCATGTCCGCCAACATGGAGCGTGTCCAGACCCCCACCACCGTCCACTGTGATCACTTGATTGAGGCCCAGGTTGGAGGTGAGAAGGATCTTGCCCGTGCCAACGACATCAACAAGGAGGTCTACGACTTCCTTGCCTCCGCTACCGCCAAGTACAACATTGGTTTCTGGCGCCCCGGCTCCGGTATCATTCACCAGATCGTTCTTGAGAACTACGCTTTCCCCGGTGCTCTGATCATCGGTACTGACTCCCACACCCCCAACGCTGGTGGTCTCGGTTGCGCCGCTATCGGTGTCGGTGGTGCTGATGCCGTCGACGTTATGGCTGGTCTCCCCTGGGAGTTGAAGGCCCCCAAGGTCATTGGTGTCCGCCTCACTGGTAAGATGTCCGGCTGGACCACCCCCAAGGATATCATCCTTAAGGTCGCTGGTCTCCTCACCGTCAAGGGTGGTACCGGTGCCATCATCGAGTACCACGGTCCCGGTGTTGACTCCCTGTCCTGCACTGGTATGGGTACCATCTGTAACATGGGTGCCGAGATTGGTGCTACTACCTCCATCTTCCCCTTCAACGACCGCATGTACGACTACTTGAAGGCCACCAAGCGTCAGCACATTGGTGACTTCTCTCGCCAGTACGCTGAGTCGCTCCGCACCGATCCCGATGCCAAGTACGACCAGCTCGTTGAGATCAACCTCGATGAGCTCGAGCCCTACATCAACGGTCCCTTCACTCCCGATCTTGCCACCCCCATCTCCGACTTCAAGAACGCTGTCAAGGCCAACAAGTGGCCCGAAGAGCTCAAGGTCGGTCTGATCGGTTCTTGCACCAACTCCTCCTACGAGGATATGTCCCGCGCTGCTTCCATCGCCCAGGACGCCATTGACCACGGTGTCAAGGCCAAGTCTCTGTTCACCGTCACCCCCGGTTCCGAGCAGATTCGCGCCACCATCGCCCGTGATGGTCAGCTCGAGACCCTCGAGGAGTTCGGCGGTGTCATCCTCGCCAACGCCTGCGGACCTTGCATTGGTCAGTGGGACCGCAAGGACGTGAAGAAGGGTGAGGCCAACTCTATCATCTCCTCTTACAACCGTAACTTCACTGGCCGTAACGACGCCAACCCCGCCACCCACGCGTTCGTTGCCTCTCCCGATCTGGTCGTCGCCATGACCATTGCCGGTACTCTCAACTTCAACCCCCTCACCGACACCCTCAAGGACAAGAACGGCAAGGAGTTCAAGCTCAAGGCTCCCTCCGGTGACGGTCTTCCCAGCCGCGGCTACGATGCTGGCCGTGACACCTACCAGGCTCCCCCCGCCGATCGCTCCCAGGTCTCCGTCAATGTCTCGCCTACCTCCGATCGTCTCCAGATTCTCGCTGGCTTCGCTAAGTGGGATGGCAAGGATGCCCTCGGCATGCCCATCTTGATCAAGTGTAAGGGTAAGACCACCACTGATCACATCTCCATGGCTGGCCCTTGGTTGAAGTACCGTGGCCACTTGGACAACATCTCCAACAACATGTTGATTGGTGCCACCAACGCCGAGAACGGTGAGGCCAACAAGGTCAAGAACTGCTTCACCAAGAAGTACGACGCCGTCCCCGCCACTGCCCGTGACTACAAGGCTCGCGGCGTCAAGTGGGTTGTCGTCGGTGACTGGAACTACGGTGAGGGATCTTCCCGTGAGCATGCCGCTCTCGAGCCCCGCCACCTCGGTGGTCTCGCCATCATCTGCCGTTCCTTCGCTCGTATCCACGAGACCAACTTGAAGAAGCAGGGTATGCTTCCTCTGACCTTCGTCGACCCCGCCGACTACGAGAAGATCGGACCCGAGGACAAGGTCGACCTCCTCTGCACTGAGCTCGCCGTTGGCAAGCCCATCACTTTCCGTATCCACCCCAAGGACGGTGGCGCCGCTTTCGACATTCCCCTCCAGCACACCTTCAACGAGTCCCAGTTGGAGTGGTTCCGTGACGGCTCTGCCCTCAACACCATGGCCCGCAAGGCTGCTCAGGCTTAAATGCGCTTCTGGTGTCGTGACTCCCCAACCTTAAAACCTTCAAGTGTTTCGGTTATCGCCGAGACACCTGTGTAAACTACGTTCTCTTGTGTGTTGAACAATTCAGATACATGCTTCTTGAAAACCACGGTGTCACACGGCAGCTATTTGATTAGTTGGCTATTGCCCGTGTTCTCTTTTCAAGAGCAGGATACGAGGAGTTGCGCTCTGGGAAAAATTATGATGAACTTGTGTGTTTTTGTAGGCCTGTTTTTCTCGGCCTTGCGTTGATTCCCGATATCTGGGTGGGCTCAATGGATATAACTCTTTTGATTTTTACATCACTGTCTTTGTATGTTAGAAATGGCATACATACACAATTTCCTTTTGTTTTTTTCAACTGGTTCCTTTCATAGATCGTAGATGTGTATACAAAGTATCTCAACCATGGTCCGTCATAGTAGACAGCCATGAATGTCCCACAGTAATCCACTTGACACCTCAGACACATCCAAGGCTGAGATAAGCTACCGAGGCTCAGTTTCTGCCCCGCGTCGGTTGGACTTCAGTATAAGATTGACCTGGACGCCATCAGACCGTCTTATTCCCTCATTGGTTCGAGTTTAGCACTTTGATATTTTCAAGTCCACCTCTACATCTCATTGCAAACCTATACCATCGAATAAGCCTAGAGCATCTTGCATGATAAGCCACCCATCAGTTGACTGCTGATCTGCACTTCAGGACAGATATAAAGATCGGGTTGTTGAGAATCCTCCCTTCCATCTACTATCTCCGCCTCATTCCGAAATATGGCGACCCAGCTCGTTCAGCTTCCAGAAGTGGAGCGCCTTAGCGCCTCAGTCGTGAGGATTTTAGGCGGGAATCCGGGGAAGGTGAGTGCATAGATGCCATCAAGTCAGTATACCACAGCAAGCTGATCGATAGCACCAACACAATACAGTTCACACTCCAAGGTAAGCATCTCACTCCCTCCCAGCCCAGAAGAAAATACCTAACCATAAGCCAGGCACAAACACATACTTAATTGGTCGCGGCCATAAGCGAATCTTAATAGACACAGGCGAAGGCAAGCCCACATGGGCAGCAAACCTTCAATCCGTGCTCTCCGAAGAAAATGCAACAGTGCACCAGGCCCTCCTGACACACTGGCACGGCGACCATGTCAGCGGGCTGCCGGATCTGCTCAGAATCTGTCCCCAGGCTCAGATCTTCAAAAACCAGCCTGATTCCACTCAGACGGATATCCAGGAGGGCCAGGTGTTCTCTGTCGAAGGTGCTACTTTGACAGCATTCCATACGCCTGGACATACGGTTGACCATATGGTATTCATGCTCGAGGAGGAGAATGCTATGATTACGGGTGATAGTAAGTGCGGCTATTTAATCCAACCCTTCGATGGAAATGATACACAATGTCCCTCGAAATATCTAACCCAAATCTACAGACGTCCTAGGCCACGGTACATCCGTCTTCGAAGATCTCAAAACCTACCTCAGCAGTCTGCACCGCATGCGCGACCGCGTCGCCTCGGGCCGGGGATATCCCGGACACGGGGCGGTGATCGAGAACGCCGGTGCGCGGATCACTGAGTACATCAAGCACCGTCAGCAGCGGGAAGACGAGGTCCTGCGCGTGCTGCGATTCGGTAAGCTTGATGTAGCGGACAGCGAGTCGGCGCCGGAGCACAGGCAGGCGTGGACGCCTATCGAGTTGGTCAAGCGTATTTATCGGGACGTTCCTGAGAATTTGCATTTACCGGCTTCGCATGGTGTGTCGCAGGTGCTGTTGAAGCTTGAGGATGAGGGGCGGACGGTTCATGATTCGGACTCTGGGAAATGGAGTCTTGTGAGTGAGAAGTCGGCTTTGTAGTTGTATAGCTGTATGGTTTTATTCGCTATAGAACCGAAATGGGATCTAAATAGATACGTTTTGTCTTAGAATAACATTCGACGTCAGCACTCGGTCACTCGTCTTCCTGGTTAGGCCATGTTGTACAAAGTCAGAATGACCAAAAGACGAAGAATTTACTGTTGAGAAATATCTCTTTTGAATCGCATGGAAATTATAGCACGATATCCCCTTCCCTTTATATATTTCCCTGCAGTCCCATGTGAGTGATATTGAGGCCCACCGGTAGTTCCAACAATTCCAGGAGTGACGTTCACTTTCCGGTCCCCCGCTTTGCCCTCACCTTTCACCTTTTTTCTCTCCCTCCACACACTCGCCATATCTTGTTTGGTATTACTGCTAGCAGGTATTCACCTATGGAGATAGATTGCTAGTTTGGTGCTCATCCGGAGTCAATATCCACTTGTTCCAAAGGTTGGTTCGCATTCGTCATGATCTCCAAGGGTTTCCCCGCCTCCAAAACCGACTCTAATCGCATGTTCGCTCGAAACTACAGGGTCCACTTTGCCTCGACTACAACTTACAGCCCTTATTCTAATCCAAATAATCCCATCCTCTACTTTCGCCCGGCATCCGATCCATCACCATGCCTTCCGTCGAGCCCAAGCATGAAGCTCGCCTGCTTCTGGTCTCAAACCGTCTGCCGATCACAATCAAGCGGTCTGATGATGGAAAATACGATTTTTCAATGTCCTCAGGAGGTCTGGTCAGTGGTTTGAGTGGTCTCTCAAAATCAACCACCTTCCAGTGGTACGGCTGGCCCGGTCTGGAGGTTCCTGAGGACGAGATCCCCGTCGTGACGCAGCGCCTCAAGGATGAATACGGCGCTGTACCAGTTTTCATTGATGATGAGCTGGCAGATAGACACTACAATGGGTTCTCCAGTCAGTTACTCCTGCTCCCCGCAAGCCCTTGGAATGTACACTGATGCTTCGTTTTCCGAATAGATTCCATCCTCTGGCCTCTGTTCCATTACCACCCTGGCGAGATCACCTTCGACGAGTCCGCCTGGGAAGCTTACAAGGAAGCGAACCGTCTTTTCGCAAAGGCCATCGCGAAGGAAGTACAGGATGGCGACTTGATTTGGGTGCATGACTACCACCTGATGTTGCTTCCGGAGATGCTGCGCGAGGAGATCGGCGATAGCAAGAAGAACGTGAAGATCGGGTTCTTCTTACATACACCGTTCCCTAGCAGTGAGATCTACCGAATCCTCCCCGTGCGGAATGAACTGCTCTTGGGTGTCCTGCATTGCGACCTGATCGGCTTCCACACTTATGATTACACGCGCCATTTCCTAAGCAGTTGCTCGCGTCTACTGTTAGTATACCCTACGCGGCTTGATGTTCATATCTAACCGGATTAGTGGTCTTGCAACTACGCCTAATGGTATTGAGTTCCAGGGCAAGATTATCACATGTGGAGCTTTCCCCATTGGTATTGACCCCGAGAAGTTCAAGGAAGGTCTGAAGAAGGAGAAGGTCCAGAAGCGTATTGCTATGTTAGAGCAGAAGTTCCAAGGTGTGAAGTTGATGGTCGGCGTCGACCGTCTTGATTACATCAAGGGCGTGCCCCAAAAGTTGCACGCGCTCGAAGTGTTCCTCAGCGATCACCCAGAATGGGTTGGGAAGGTCGTGCTTGTACAAGTTGCCGTTCCCAGCCGACAGGATGTCGAGGAGTACCAGAATTTGAGGGCCGTAGTGAACGAACTGGTGGGTCGGATTAATGGAAAGTTCGGTACGTATTCCCCTTTGGTGTTCTGAACGAGGCTAATCGTCTTTCAAGGCACGGTCGAGTTCCAGCCTATCCACTTCCTGCACAAGTCCGTCAACTTCGACGAACTCATCGCTCTCTATGCCGTATCAGATGCCTGCATTGTCTCATCTACCCGTGACGGCATGAACCTGGTGGCCTACGAGTACATCGCCACCCAGCAGAAGCGCCATGGAGTGTTGGTGCTTTCTGAATTCGCCGGAGCAGCCCAGAGTCTGAACGGTAGTATTATTGTGAACCCCTGGAACACCGAAGAACTGGCAGGCGCCTACCAAGAAGCCGTGACCATGAGCGACGAACACAGAGCTCTCAATTTTGCCAAGTTGGACAGATACGTGTCCAAGTACACTAGGTACGTCACCCTATCCCTGCCAAGCAGCCATCCTGTATCTTTCGTATTTCGTATTTCGTTCCCGACTGACCATTTTCTAGCGCATTCTGGGGCCAATCCTTCGTCACCGAACTCAAGCGGATATCAGCCCACTCTGCCGATAAGTTCCAATCCAAGAAATTGGCGGAAACGGATCCGAGCGAAAGACATGTGCCACCCCAAACGCACGCGTAATAATCTTTTTATGTTTCTCTTCCGAGACATGTTGTTCCCAGTTTCCTGGTGCTCTGCTGTCGGAACGGGTATTTCAAATGAAACTAGATGGCCTTCACGAACATGGATGAGGCGAAATGTATTTTCTTAGGGGTTGTTTGGTTCTGCTTCTATTTTTGTCTTCTTAAATCTGAATTCTGTATACAGGTTTTCCTTCTAGACCAGACTTATACAGAACATATCAGAATACCGATCCGGATTAACAGTTTATCCGAGTGATCATATCTCTACAGTCGCGGAATGCCCGGAGGTGGAGGAGTAACGTTGCTTGCGAAAATGAGTAGGTGCAGGAGGCGTGGTGTAGTAACTGCATTCTGTTGGTCGGATGCTCAAACGTGAGAGGCTAGAGCAGTCTGGAAGGCTTTGCCGTGTTATTGGGTCGGGTCGTCTCCTCAACTAATGAAATGGGACTCAGTCCTTGCTCAATGTTCCCCGACTCTCCGATGGGAATGTTTTCCGCTTGTTGGTAGTAATTCTAAGTGTGAAAGAATGTCAGCAGACATCCTGCCTCTACAGACAAATATACATTATCTCCGAGGCCATGACCCCTATATGTACATGACAGCCTGCGCCATCGCAAACAGGGGTTAGTAATTTTTGAATCGTCGGGACTCGGTACTCCGATCATCATAAGGGTGTTTGACCTGCTTATACGGCTCGCTAGTTAACTAGTTAGTTACTTTGGAAATTCCCCAGTAAGCATGTAACAATTAAGCCGTTAGGTAGAAGTGCTCGAGGGCGACTATATGGTAAGCTATAACATGATGTGGATCTTGAATCATGAGAGGGATCATTTTACTCGAACCCATCGAAGGGTCTTTACAGTACTTCTGTTTCACCCACCCCACTGGGTTGTTCAAAATAGACGTGGCTAGCGCTGAGCTTTTTTGAGACGCCTCACCCAACGAACAGGGAGACGTGTCTAGCCCCTCAAGTTGAAATTGGTGGTTACCAATCGAAATAAAATATTGCTTCACATATACGAAGAAAGGTCTGGTAGTAGCCGACGCGTTCAACTGTAGTCTAGAGGAACTTCCGGTGACTGTAATTGGTTGATCTTGAGCTCGTCTGTATAGCCACTATAGATCATGGCATAACGGATGAAAAGAGGGCCGAATGATGCGTGAGAGACGATCGTAGTTGGTTGAACTATACGGTCAGCAAGAATAAATGAAGAAGCCCTGGAGTATGTGAAGAGTGAAAAAGTGACCTCTAGGTGGTCCCTTTTTCACGCTTCTAGTCTAGCGCCGCGCGGGGATACAAGGCTGATCAGCTAGCCCAGCCTTCCTCTTTCTACTTTCTATCGCATTTCTACTTATTTTCTCTGTATACCTTCTCTCTATATCTCCTCTCTATACCTTCCATTCCATTTTATACTCCGTCTTTCTACCTATATGCCTCTCGCTACACTCTGGATTTGTGCCAGCGAGCCCTAAAACACAGAGCTTGTTGAATATTCGCTCTGACTATGAATTCGACTGATGCTCTTGCCCGTATCAGAGAGCGAGCTTCATCCCCTCACATTGGTGAGAAAACCGATTCTGAATACCTCCAAGAGGTAGGCACCCATTTTACAGTGATTAGTATGAGAACTGATACTAGGGTGAAGATTGTTAGCTTGCTTATCCTAAACAAGAACTTCCTACCTAAAGATATCAATCGCTCTTTACGAGAAGCGTTCGGAAAGCATTCTTCGCATAGAGCAGTCCCGTTGCGTAACCGCGAAGATGCTCTCCATCGCGTACGATGCCTGGAGCGTGAAAACATTAAAACTCCGGAATTCATGCAAGATTTTCTCCCTCTCTATAAAGATCAAGGTTCCTTGTTCTGGTCCGGTGGAGTATCGATTTCTACCGAGCATATTTGCCAGAACGTTCTTAGCAGTATATTCTATGCAAATGAGCGAGGAGCAACTGCAGATTCCATTCGACGGGCGTTTTACTGCTTGGCCCTCTATCAGGTGATTCAGCGCACAATCGAGCTTCACGGCGCAAAAACATTTACCTCTAAGATTGCCTCCTTCTGCGCAGACATGATACTCGGGGACTCAAAAAACGGAAACCCTCAAAGCAAAACCGACGTAGTGCAGCAGCTGAGGACTGACTACAAAACCGGGGGTGTATATGAACCATATGCACAGAAAGCAGGTTACGGGATTATTTTCTACCTTTTCGTTTTGCCGTCCAAAATGTGAGCTATTGTTTCTCTCTTCTTATCAATGCAGACTTTGTGCTGATGCAGACAAGATACGAGAAATATTTAAACAGAACCGAAGATGTGCAGACAGTTCTCTCTCATTACGAATCTACTGGCTTCCAACAGGAAGAATTAAGCATCTCTGCGGCGTCTAGCATAATGGGCGATATTACCAATCGTTTCAATTCTCAGATCTCTATTTTTAAGCACGGCTTGGGTACACCAGATCATTCCATCACGCCCAGGATTCCACAGGCTCCCATGCGCAAACGTAGAAAAGATTTGCCGAACCGGACAGTTTCCAAAAAAAGAAGAACTGCCGACCGAACTGGACCATCATGTCCTGTCAATCTCGATTCGCTGCCGGACCCAACAATCAACCCAACAAGCAGCCTTCAAATACTCGATTGGCAACCTATACCCAATGCGTATGCTTTTCAGCCAAACTGTGACAATGTGCAGGCTATTTCATTTGATTATCAGTCGGCACCAGATGCTGTGCAAGGCAGACAAGGCCACAACCTTCGAGCCGACGCTGGAACATTGGGAGTCGCACTAGAGACTTCAGGCCCGGACCTTGAAACACAGACCAACATGCAGAAGGAGTACTCAAGCCAAGTCTTGAATGACATTTTTGGGTCAACTTCGGGAACTCCGAATGTGCACCAGTCCTTCTATTCAGAATGCAATCAAGGCCATGTATCGCAAAGTGCGAGTGATCTACAAGCGTATGCCTTCCTGCCTATGGCTTCTGATCGCATGATGGAGAATGGGCTTTGAATTTTGGTCATCAAGTGACTGATCCCACTGCCTAGAAGCTAATAGTCGAAAGTCCTGACTCGCGATCTCGTTTTATTGAGTGTGTGATGATGTATATTTGCAAACAGTTAATCGGCTTTTTTGTGGGATTCCTTTAATATTGCCTTTTCCGATTCGTCATAAATTACCTACCTCAATTCAAGTATTTTATAGTCTCTGAGTCCTAAAGCACCGGGGGAAAAAACCGATATGGTTGAGTATTATATATTCATTCATAGCCTGTTCATGATGTTCATATAAAGCAAAAGCATCCATGGATGTCCCATGGGTGGATATGGCGGGGCTACCGCCTTTTTAGAGTGCACGTGATGCGGCATTATATTGTAGCCCCGCCGCGACTTCCCATGGGTTCCCTCTACGATGTATAAATTTATTTGGGATATTCGACCTAGCACTTCCATTTCGATTTTCATAACTACAGCGTTTTTCTGTCACTTGCTGTTTTAACACTGCTGTGTGGATCCACTTCCTCTGGTTCCTTCTTTAGCCACCATCAATGTCTACCGCTCCATCGGCTTTCGACTGCGAAAACGTGAAAATCAGCGCTGCACAAGCCTGGGAGAAGGAGGTATGCAGAGTCGCCCAGGCCTTATTCAAGCCAAAGAGCTGTGCATTTGCAAGGTTCTTCCCGACAGATGCCTGCAATGAGCCTATAGCGGCGAGTGTTTCAGAATATCTCAAAGTGAGTAACCCATTACATGTATTACGATATACAGTCTGACAACAAGATGGACTTAGGCAAAGTCCCTGCCAAATGCTAAGATTAAATCATGGAATACCGGCGGATTTGTCTTCTTTCCAGGAGAGACACGCGTTGCGGGGTCCTTCTCGATCATGATTCCTTTATACGTATCTGGCAATGTTGAAATGAATGGGTTGGTGCTGGACACGGATCACCATTACCACATCCAAAAAGACAGTATGATTCAAGTGTCCGAGAATTCTAAATTCGTGATGCTGCTCGTATCGGATTTAACATTGGCATAAACAAAGTCCGAAAGATGACTGGCAGGTCTCAGGCTCAATGCTATTGAACACATGTCCATTCCTATTTCTGCCGTATTGGTGTTGGACGTTGATCGTTTTTGTGGTTGAATTTCATATCAATGACATATTTTACTGTATATACTCCAAATGAAATCTTGGCCCTGCTATTGTCTGTACATCCAAAAAAGCATATCTATAAAATCTGTGACACTATCAAATAAGGGACTAGAAGGCGAGCGCCATTATCGTCGCAATTTTGTTGCTCAACCTGGAGCAGAAGCCCTAGTTTTGTGTTCAAGTAACATTAGCTCTACCGAAATAATCCTAAGCCAATAATAACCATCAGAGAGCCCCAGAGAAGCAGCTTGACCGTAAGAGCATCGGTGGGATGACTAGATGTGATAACCACTCCAATATGCAGCTCTGTATGCATAGGACTGATGATGGGATTCTGGCATGCAACCAAAGCACCTAGCTGAGCTGTGCAACTACTATGGTCATTTAGTATATAAACAGCGAAATTCCCCATAGGAAGATAGCCCATTAATTCTCAAGCAATATCCTGCCTTACCAGCCATTTTGTAAGAAGAAATGTCGAAGACGACGCGCATCCTCAACTTCTTTTGGGTGTCGTCAACGAAGTAGTAGCGGAAAATACAGTCCAAACCGAGTTCACGAAACTGATACCATCTTTTCCGGAGCTTGCAGCAGCTACGAATGCGTCTGTGGAGTAAGAGAGACTGCTGAGCCTCCTCATATTTTCGGTCACTAATGCACCTAAAGCTCGAGACCACATGCTACGCCAAAATCTGATGGCAGAACGGACCCTCTTCACGCCGTCTTCCGAATCACTTCGGATGACAATCGGGTGTTAACTTCAGTGCATTATTATGTTAATGCACTTGGGGGCAGGCATGTCTGGTTTTCGAGGCCCAGGTATAATGGCGGGAAACAAGTCAATGAGTTCTTCGTTAAGGACGAGCAATCCGGACAGAGTGGAAGTAAGTGATGGAGAATGAGAATTGGATTGGCCAGCTACGGAACTACCTATGCAGACCGCTCCGAAATCATTCAGTTCAGTGATAGCAGTCTGTGGGTTTAATGAATGATAATTGCTTGTTGATAATGGTTCAGCCCTGTACTCGGCCTCGTAGCCGCGATCAACAATATAATACTACCTAGGAACATTCAGTATATTGAGTTACTACATAACCATGTAAGCAAAGAAGCAAGGGGATGGCCCCCCTAAGAATTCGGGCACAAAGTCATAAAACCTTTCTTTTGTTTGGTTGAAATTAGTTTTACTAGCTGGGCAGGTTTTCCACCAAATCGATGGACATTTGCAGTAGACGCATTTAATGCAATAATAGGGATTCAGTGTTAATATTGTAGATCTATCTTCACATGCAGGCTATGGTTGATGGTCGCAGAAGACTGGTGGCTGAGATAAACCAAAACAAGGCCTTTTACTTTAGCCCACTTGAGTGGATCAAGAGCTGGACTTGATTAAGAGCGTAGGGATGCTGGGGACTGGTCAGCCATGCAAATAAAAAGTTTTACGAATGGTTTTTCTTTAATTGAGAGAGTATTCCAATGAGATATCAAGGCAGTTATTCTGAAAGCAAGGTGATAGATGGTGAGATAAAGGTGATGTGAGGTTCTGACTACGAGGGAAGAAGTGATCAACCAGATGGTAAAAGATAATGTTAATGGAAGATGAGGAAACTAGCTACTGTACTGAAGCCTGTCTATATAGCTTCGTACTATAAAGTAAGCCAGATTCTATCTACCAGAACACAGAAGAAGCATCTCTGCAGATATATAAAGGAAAGCGCTGATGCGGCAAGCTGCGCGTTTGCCGATAAGCTGTCTATCAGAGAAGAGAAAGAAAGGGAAAGGAATGCCATATAGAAGGTCTATAAACTGTATAGGGTGACAGTGAGCCCGTCAGAATGTATCAAAAGGTATTGCCCTTAAGGTCTTAGTACCTTAGAAAACAGAGGGTCTATAAAAAAAGGCTCTGGAGCAAGCTTCTTCAGTGAGTGAAGAGAAAATGAACTATCCAAAAGACTAGGAGCAAACAGGGAAAATCATGTGACATCCTAACATAACTGTTATATAACCAACCCCCTGCTGATCCGAATTATTGTCCTGTTGTTAATCAATATGGCTTTATTTCGACAATCACTTTGGAAAATCCCCCATCCTGGGCACTTGGTTTGCCCAATGTCGTCCTTCTCTCGAGTTACCTCCCTGCCATCACCTATAGAGGAGGAACAATGCCCTACTTACGATCCTAAGAAATACTATCCCGCTCGCATTGGGGAGACCATTGGTCGATATCGCATCGTTTCGAAGCTCGGCTGGGGTGCTAGTTGCACGGCTTGGCTGGCACAAGATGTTTCCCGGTTAGTCGAATAATCAGTTCTCAGTGCCATATCTTTTCTAATACCGTGAAGCTGGCGATTTCAGTCACCCCGATACGTAACCTTGAAGATCACAAATCTCGGAGAAGGGGAAAAGAAAGCCACGGAAGGAGAAATCGCAATTTCGCAGCATATTGCTACCTTGAATTCTGATAATGAAGCTATCCGATACGTCCGGCTGATCAAAGAGTCGTTTTTGGTTCAAGGGTCTCACGGGCAACATATTTGCTTGGTCTTCGAGCCATTACGAGAGCCAATTTGGTTTCTTGGAAGACACCTTGGGAGAGTCGGCGTGCCTCCAAACATTGTCAAGGCATTTTTGCGGATCTTACTTCAAGGTCTAGACTTTCTCCACTCCGAGTGTCATGTTATACACACTGGTGATTCACTACTTGTCTTCCTAAAAATGGTGTTGACTTTCTAACCGGCCGCAGACCTGAAAGCTGATAACTTCCTTATTGGCTTTGAACACGCTAATGTTATTCAACGATATGTCCGCCAGCAAGAGCTCGATCCCGCACCGCACGTGTTTCGGGACGGGCGTCCTGTATATCATTCTAGACCAGACTTTGGACCACTGACGAAGGGGGTAGGTTTAATAAAGATCTGTGACTTCAGTGCTGCCGTCTTCGGTGATGTGACAACACCACACAACCATGACATCCAGCCTATACCATTCTGCGCACCCGAGGTCCTCTTAAAGGCCGGTTGGACTTATAGCGCTGATATATGGAACTTGGGAACAGTGGTACGTAGCCAAAAGTAAGAGCTATCTACCACATGCTATATCTCACACCATTCACAGCTGTGGGAGCTCCTTGGTGATACAACACTCTTTGGCGCAGGTGCACAGCATTCCCTGGAGGCGCACATTGCGCAAATGATAGGACTTCTAGGTCCGCCTCCCTCGCAATTTCTGAAGACATGTGACCCATCCATATGTGGTCGTTTGTTCTCAGCCCAGGGTATGTTTTCGCCATATTCCGAGATATGATGGACTCTGATTCACTCGCATGTGTAGGGGACTTCAAATTTCCTCATCTGATTCCACCTGAAAGCTTCAATTTCTCGAATGTGGTACCTGCTGTCCTCGAAGGGGAGGATAAACGTCTTTTTATTGAGTTCGTTCGCAAGATGCTTCAATGGGAACCTGAACGTCGGTTGACTGCAAAGGAACTTTATGATGACCCTTGGCTTCATATGTTGTAGTGGCTTATGAAACTAGAGTCAACGCTACCTGGTGTGCAATTTGTCTTTGACTTTTAGGGCAAGGTTTATTATTTACTTCGAATCAAATACGAGGCAAGCCGATTAGGGACTATATGACAGTAACTAACTACCCCGCACAATCCATAGCTGGTCATTCAAGATATCAGTAAGCCCTACTCTGCCCGCCGGCATATTGGTTGTGGCTAAGTAAATCTGATCCGGTGCATATAACTAACTCGTCATGCATGCTGATCACCAAGCAGTTCATTAACCCACCGCCCAAATCTCGAAATCCTGTTCTGAACTTCTCACGACGCCAACAGCTGTAGGCTACCAACTATGCCAGAAACTTTCCGTTTCTGGACTTGTTGTGTCTCCGAATGTTCCGCTGCTGCTGCGATCGATGTCGGTCTCTGTGAACGCTGTAAGCAGCATTTTTGCGCCATTCACGCCATCTTCCCAACCCATTGTTGCAAGGTACCCACATCATGTAAATTCCTACTAGCTGGGGCGTTCTAATCCGACCCTAGAAATACCCTCTTGACGAAGATGCATGGACGACTGCCCAAACAGAAGAAGTAACAGCCCTTCGACACATGGTGAACGACAAAATCCTTCTGCGTCGAGCTTCCGAACGCAACAGAGGCCTCAATTGTGAATTTGACCCCTCGGACCCTCTTGGACAGAAGCGGATGGGCGGCATGAATATCCATCTTCGAATCATTTTTAGCGATGGAACGGCCTGGCTTGCTCGAATACTCCGGCAAAACTACACCTCATTCTCAGACGACTTTAGCAATCTCTGTTTAAAGAGCGAATGCGCCACTTTGAAATGGCTCGAGGATATTAACGTGCCATCGCCTAAACTCTACGACTTCGGTCTGCGCAATGACCCCGAGAATGAGGTTGGGGTTGCGTATATGTTGATAGAGGAACTCCCCGGGACACCTTTACTTCTCCTTAGTCCATCAGAGGAGCAGTTGCGCAAACTGTACAATAGTTACGCCGACATCTTGTACACTCTCTATAAGTACCCCATTGACCAAATCGGTGCTCTCTCTTTACAACCAAATGGTACTATCTGCATAGGCCCCATCGTAGGCGATCGCTCAGGTACATTTTCGCAGATGGGACCTTTCAGCAACGCACGAGAATACTACACGACATGGGCAGAGAAATATCTCGAGATGATCTGCGACCACCAGCTTTTCACTCGATACTCTGTCAATGCCTACCTCATCTTCAAATACCTCAAGGAACTGGCAGAACAAGGCCAGTGGAATGGATTTGAATCGAGTATCGACAATGGCCCCTTCTTCTTAAAACACATGGATGACAAAGGCGACCATATACTTGTGGATGAGGATTATAATGTCACTGGTATTATCGACTGGACGTTTGCTAGGGCGGTGCCGATGTATGAGGCATTTGGTCCTTCACTGTTGACAGCAGATATGAACGATATTTACCAAGGCAAGGCTGGGCGATCCCCGGGTGACAGAATCCTGGCCGAGGCTATACAGACCAAGGACAAGACTTTGGCTCTCTTTGTCGGTGGCCCTGACCTGGTTCGCCGCTTCTCCTTTGCTCTCGGAATGGGCATGGACATGCCTTGGAATGAAGCAGTTGATTTGTTCCAAGGCATTATATCTACGGCTGAAGGTATCGGTTTAGAGTTTGACTGGGATGTCTGGTGTCAAAATCGTATAGCTCAGTGGGCTGGTGATGGGAGGTTGCAAGCCCTTCTACTTGAATTGGGAGAAGCCTAGAACCTCAAACTCTCTGATCGAATTGAATGATTGTCAGGAAGATAACAGCAAAATTTTGATTCTGGGGCGTTTCATTATCCGGGCAAAAATTCCGCATTGTCGTGATGGTCCATAAGAGATATCTATGAGAGAGCCGAGGTAGCAGTTGGGACGGAGTTAAGAATCTGCTTAGATAAATTAGATACTCTAAAGACTTGCAAATAATCAGAAGTGTAAGTACAATTTCTTAAAATATGAAGGTTTGTTATCAAATTGCCCATCCAGTCGATCCATGGATGTCTTATACTAGAGTGCAAACAGTGCAAACATGCTTCCCCGAGAAATTCTCGAAATCCTCAACTGCAAACACCTCAAGCTCGCAACCATTTGGGCGGTCACCATCACCAACCACCTGCTTGACCACCTCTAATTACTCGTCTTCTCCAATTCCACCCAACTACAATTGGAAGAGCAACCGCCTGCTCCCCCACCAACAATGGCACCAAGCCACCTCCTCCGGGCAACAATGCCTCTCCGAGCCTCAATCACGACACCTTTGTCCCTGTCACGCCCCTCAATCCTCCAATCAATCACATACCTCACCACGCCTCTCCGCAATGCCTCAACAACTACTCCAACCCCTACACAGCCGCAGACCACCGGGACAGAAACAAAAGCGCCCTCCCGACTGCGCAAATACGCCTCAGCCCTGAAGACCGGCACCGTAGTCTCCGTCGGCCGCATGGACCGCACAGTGGGCGTCAGCCACCGCCACACCCTCTGGGACCGACACATCCGCAAGTTCTACCCGCAGGAAACGCACTACCTAGTGTCCGACCCCCGCAACTCCCTCCGCAACGGCGACATAATCGAGTTCTCGTCCGGCGCGCCGAAGAGCCGAAACGTGCACCACGTCGTCGAGCGCATCATCACGCCTTTCGGCGATGCGATCGCAGACCGTCCTCCTGTGCTGTCGAAGGAGGAGCGCGAGGCTGAGCGTGAGACGCGCTGGGCGGCTAAGTATCTGCGTCGTGAGTCGAGACGGCTTGGTCGTGAGGTGGATCTTGTGGAGGAGGCCGCTAAGGCGGGTGTTCCGGTGCCTAAGGGTGAGGTGCTTTCTACCGCGCAGCTGATTCATCGCATTCATGCGGAGAATGAGCGCGTCGGAAAGGTTAAGAAGCTTGTGCAGGAGAGACTGGCGGAGGCCGAGAGGGTTGGACAGGAGAGTGTGAAGGAGGCTAAGCAATGAGCAGTTGGCTTCTACTGAGAAGTGTACGTTTAGCTCTTTTTGGGACGGACTTCAGTATCTCAACTGCCGGATTTGTCCTTCGGCCTCTGTGATGTTGCATATCGGAGGTCATGTACTGTATTATACCGCTTCAATCTATTTTCATTGGCATTGTGATATGCTGTATTCCTGGGGTGGATTTTCCAACTAAAAAACTAAAGATAGGCTGAAGTATGTATGAGAAGGAGAGCCATCAACATCAAAAAACCCAAAAACCAACAGTGGACATCGTAAACATGGGTTTAGCCTAGACGAAACCGTCTATTCCAATCCCTAATCATTTGGAACAAAAAAGAAAGTCACTGGTATCATAGAAGAATAACCAACTCCTTTACCCAGAAACGGCAAACTATGCCCGCCAAATCCCGAACCCACCCCGGCAAGAGACGCAGTGCTCCCCCAAGCATTGGATGGTGCACGACCTCATCTTATTTCCATTGCTCGCTCGAAGGTCATGCCGCCCAGACCCGGACCTTGAGATCAACACTGCCAGTCGCCAGAACACATCGAATGGACATCTTTGTCGCATTAGGGTCTTCTTTTGCCCCATTAGACGCAGCCGGTGCACCGTTCGTACCCTCCTTTGCACCGGCATCCTTAAGCAAAGGCGGTGCCCACCGAAGCGAACTGATGAAGTGGTCGTGGGCCGCGATCGTGCGCACACACTTGCATTCTTGCGTGAGATCCCAGCACCGCATGGTCTTGTCGTCAGATACCGAGAGAAGGTATTTCCCGCCGGGATGGAAGACCAATGAGCGGACCCAGTTGTCGTGACCAACGAGGGTTTTGATGCAGTTTCCGCGGGTATCCCAGAGACGGATAGTCTTATCGCGAGAACCAGTAGCCACAAACTCGGCGGACGATGATGCTGGCGGTGGCTTCTTTAGCCCCGCAAGAGCTGCGAAGTGAGGGTAGCTTGTTGCCGGAGCGAAGGCTACACACTCGATATAGTGTTCATGGCCCAGGAATGTTGACTTGGTATCACCAGACGAGATATCCCACAGACGTGCGACTCGATCGTCTCCACCGGAGAAGAGGAACCGGCCGTCTGGGGATGGTGTAACATCTCGAATCCAGTCTCCATGTCCCTGCATGGATTTGACACAATATCCAGTTGTGACGTCCCATATGCGCAGTGTGAGATCGCGAGAAGCCGAGACTAGCAGGTTTCCTGACATGGGAGACCCTGCAGCTCCGGATGGAATGAACCGAATTGCTGAAACACTGTGGTCGTGCCCTGGAAGGGTTCGGATGTTCTTATACTCGTCAGCCGGGTCCCACAATTTGATCGTTAGATCTGACGAGCATGATGCAAGAAGTGTGCCTCCACGCGGTCCACCATAATCGACGTCTAACACTGCTCTGGTATGTCCTTTGATTGTGCGCTCTAGTTCACCCAGCTCCCAATCCCAGATCTTGATTGTGGTATCGTCTGAGCCGGAGGCCAATGAAGAGAATACTGGATGGAAAGCGAGGCACGATACTGGCGAGCGGTGTGATTGGAGGTCATGACGCGCTGGTGCTCGAGGCAGCCAGGTAACGGGGTCTTGGTTTTTGCGATTCAGCGAAGTCGGGGTTGCGGTATCCAGCTCGGACTGGAGTGCAGCGCATCGTGCTTCCAGTTCCATGATCTATACCAGAATTGCAGGTTAACAAGAGGTAGACGTGTTGGTATGCCCGGTCGTCGCACCTTTTTCTGTAACCGGACTACACTCGTCCATTTCTTCTCCAACAGGCCTTCATATTTCTTTAGTGTGCTCTCGTCAACTCTGATCGAGTCGCCTAGTTCTTCTCGTAAAGCGGCGGAGCTGTGGTGCAAATTCACAGAGGTAAGGTAGGCGATCATTCCTTTATGTCTGTCGCAAAACACCATCAGCGATCACCCCTAAAGGAAACAGATCGGGTCACATACAGCTCCTCCGCCTGCCGCGTTGTGAGAAGTTGGCTCATGATGTTATATGTGCTCTCTGTTCTCTCTGCTCATCCAAATGCGCATATACCAAGTTGGTTCGGAAAACTGCGATGGAGGGGGAAGTGGTGTGAGCGGTGTCGAGGGGAGTCGGGGGGAGTTAGGGGGAGGCTAGAAGTTGCAAATTGAAGAATTGATCCAAGAGAAGTAAGAGAAACCGAAGAATAGAGAGAAAGAGAAGAAGAGAAGATAAATATGAAGGGCACGTTGTGATCCACCGCGGGGAGGGAGAACAAAACAATCTTCGCCAAGGCTTTTGTTTACTTTCCTCCAACTTCAACTGTTGATTTTCTTTAACTCCTGTTGGTTTCGACTATTATCAGCCACTCCTTTCAATATACAATTTGGCACTTTGACTGAGATATTCATGTTCTGGTCAAGATCAGTGTCTTATTAAAGCAAGACAAGTCCGTCTTTGATACCCTTTGGGCATCAACCCAACACAGTACGACCATCTGAACCCCCCGAGACACCCCGGAAGAGCCCCCGCAACACCAACTCAGAGCCTTTATATCTGTCCCCGGAACTCTCTTTGATACTATGCGCACTTCTGCTCAGATACCGCAGAACGTGCTGACTCCTTTTTTTCCTAGAATCCGTTGATAGTTCCCGCCCGTCGTCAAAATGGCTGAAGTCCCAGAGGACTTCTCCTCCTTACCCTTGCCCGACCGGTTCACTCATAAGGTGCGCTCATCCCTGCATAACTAGCCCGACCGATAGAATTACGGAAATCTGACTCCGATGCACAGAACTGGAAAGTTCGAAAGGAGGGATACGAAGATGCGAAAGCGCAATTTGAAAAGACCCCCGATGAATCACATCCGATTTTCGGACCATTCATACAAGATCCCGGCTTATGGAAAGGGGCGGTTGCAGATTCCAATGTCGCGGCACAGTCCGAAGGTCTGGCAGCATACTGCGCGTTTTTGAAGTTCGGAGGAGTCCAGGCCTGTACGAGGTGCGTCAACCCCGGTCCCAGTCGCGACGCCTGAACCCGCTGACAACATTCCCATCTACAGGAGCCGCACGTATACAATTGGTCCTATTGCTGAGAAGGGTCTCCCATCTACACGACCGGCCGGTAAAGCCTGCGCGCAGGAAGCTATTTTATTATGTGTCGAATTAGACAAGGCCGATCCGGTGATCGAGGAGCTACTACCTATGCTATCACACAAAGTACCTAAGGTGGTCGCCGGATCTCTCGCAGTTTTCACCCTCATTTATCACAACTTCGGCTGCAAGATTGTCGATCCGAAGCAAACCTTGAAGGCGCTGACCAAGGTTTTTGGTCACCCTGATAAAAATGTCCGCGCGGAAGCACAAAACCTGACCGTGGAACTCTATCGCTGGCTTCGGGAGGCCATAAAGCCTCTGTTCTGGGCCGATTTGAAACCTGTGCAACAGGGAGATTTAGAGAAACTATTCGAAACTGTGAAGCAGGACCCCACGCCGAAGCAGGAGCGATTCACCCGGGCACAACAAGATGCCATGGCTGCGGCCAGCGCTGCACCGGCGGGTGAGGAGGGTGAAGTACCAACTGGGGACGAATTTGATGAGGAGGAGGATGTAGTGGTTGTTGATGCTTTCGACCTGGCGGAACCGGTTGATGTTATCAAGAAAGTACCAGAAAACTTCCATGATCAATTGGCCTCGTCAAAATGGAAGGACCGCAAGGAAGCGTTGGACGCTCTCTATAATGTGCTTAATGTTCCCCGAATCAAAGATGGTCCCTACGATGAGATCGTGAGGGGATTAGCCAAATCT